GTTTTCTGCATGCAGTTTTCCATATGTTCTTTGAGTATGTGGTGAGTGAACAACAATATTGCATTATATAGGGGTATATTAGTTTAGCTGTTGTTGATCTTTTCAGGCTAGTGTTTAATGGGCATTTCTTTTGGCCCTCCAGCTGCTTTACATGGAGAGGTTTGTATTCTTTAGTTAATGTCTTGTCTGGGCCATGGAAAGGAGAAGTGCTATAGTTTATGTGTGTGTATATGAGTTTGTGTGTTTCAGGACTGGTAGTGCTGGAAACCATTAAACACAATAGGATCAGTCAGGCATAACGTTTTTAGCATTTTAGGGGGCTGTTTCCCAATCTCATTATGAGTGTGCCCTTTAGCTGAGCCAGGGTGAGCCAACGGAATACACAACATTAACCATGAAAAAGACAAGCGAAGCAGCTCTAGGATCAGTTACTACTAGTGCAGGGAACTGAGAATTTATTAATTTTTTTCTCTTAAATATCAGAACCAAATGATGGTTCAGTTAACGCTTCTCTCAGACACATTATTCTTAATGCGGATGGAACATTTTATTAAAATACTCTGACAGTGTTATACTATTCAATTGCTACTGCAACATTAATGATTCCCGAATAAATAACTCTTAACTGATGGCCAGGTCTTTTTTTGTTAATCAAACATGTACAACTTACAGCTTTCTGTTATATTGTATTTAAGACTTAGTTTGTTTGCTGATATGACAACATGTAGTTAAAGAGGCCTTTTTTAAAAATAAAATATTTTACCACATTTTTTAATTATTATTTTGTACTGTTTAATATGCAGTTAAGACGTAAAGACCTGATGCCCCTAAAAAACTGTGAAAGGTTATTAAATGTCTGTTAAAATCAGAATGAAATGAAAATTCATTACTAAATGCAAGTAATGACTTATTGAGAACAATTAATCTGTGCATTTAAAAAATACCTTGTAATTTTTTTATCAAAATGTCATGATCTTCTGGAGAAATTGAAACCCACCCCTTTCTTTCAATCCAATGCAAGCTCACATAATTCAGCTGTTCTGCCTTCATCCAGTTAACAACCGATGATCTGTTTAAGTCAGATGTATTTCATAATACATAAAAAAGACCTGTCATTACTTCTGTTTCATTGCAACTTTAATACACCATTTGCAAGAATTGTTTTAAATTTATTAGCCTAATTATTAAAATCATCTCAGATGGCAATTGAATTGCATTGTTTTATTTATTTAATTTCAAAAGTATTCTAAGAATCATTCATGGAACTGTTAACTAGTAATTGTTGAGAGAATCATTAAAATTGCATTACAGCATTATAATGCTGCTATTTTAAAATACATTTCGCACAATATTTACACGACAATTCGCCCGGAATTAAAAATGGTTTATCATCTATTGACAAGGCTTTCAGTAGAATTGAATTTGACATTAGTGGTAACTACCAAATCTGTTTATTAGCTAAGTGGGCAATTAAATGTTTTACCACTGCTGTAAAGTCACTCTTACAAACTGTTACAGAATGCTTCAGATTTTTGTACTCAATTCTTATCCATAAAGTGCATAAAAACCGGGACAGACATTTGCTGTGCTACTGAGTGGTCGTCATGCTCTATATAATGGTGGGTAAGTTGGATCAGTGTCAATGCATCATGGCCATCTGTGTGTCATCTTAGTGTGCTATGGTGAACAGAGGGCTCTAATTTACAGCATCACTGATTGGCACACCAGCATTGGTAAATATGAGGTCAAAATCTCCTTTGCACAAGAAACCAAACTTGAAGGTCTGAAATCGCATACTTCCCCACTATATATACTGTACAATACACTGTAAAAAAATGACTGTTGGTTTAACTTCAAAAAAGTAAGTTTTCTGGTTGCCTTAAAATTTTGAGTTCATTTAAATTAAAAATTTTAGTTAATACAATAAAGGAGATTGTTTTGATAAAAAGACACTTAAAATATGTTATCTGAACCACATTCATTATCCAAGTTGATTTGACAAAAGATAAAACGTTGCGATAACAAATCATAAAAAAACGTTTTACAGTATGGGCGAAAAATGACAATATATGTATGTCCAAATTCACAGTACTCATAAAAGAGTATAGGTAAAAAGTACCTGGATGACATAATTTTTTCAACGAGATTCAGACGTGTGCATACGATGGACACTACTATCCCATGAGGCCACAGGAGAGTATTTATGAATGGAGGTGAAGCGACGCAACTGACGCTGTAAGGTCACATGAGAATGACACCATTGCGAATGTAGTGCGTCCGGATTACATTCATACTATATAGAACATAACATTTTTAGCGTTCGTGAAGTAATTACTTATTCAGAAAAAGTACCTACTCAAGAGAGTATGCGATTTCGGACGCAGCCTATGTCTTCTCTGCCCCAAAGATTAATGACAATGTCATAGACTTAAAGTGATATCGAAAACATGATGTGTGAACTGAATCTATATGTAGTTCTGACCAACCTCATGTGAGAAAATGCTGAGTGGCCATTCAAAAAAAGGATAGCGAGAGAGAGAAAGAAATCACACTTGCTTCAACTAATGAAATACTGCAGCAGTGAGCCCCTAAAAAGGAGCTGGGTGGGTAACCACCACCTTAATCTCTGCTGAATGCGCTAGGATCCTTTTCAAACTCGTCCTGGGCCCCCCAGCTCAAAAGAAAAAAAGGACAGAGCAAAAGGAGGAGTGGCAGGCGCTGCAGCGGTGTAGAGAAACACAATAGTCAGTGATCCATAGTGTATGGCATGGATCCAAGTCGGTTATACCTCCACAGCAAGGCAAGGTGAGAGAGCCTTAAACCTATGCAATGCGACAGAGAGACATGCACTATAGCTAGAGACACAAGGAGGGGAGGGGAGACTCACAATTGATAGCCGGACGAAGAGAGAGAGAGAGAGAATGACTCAAACAGCAACTGAATATCGTCTAGGGTGGGCAAATGTGTGTGAGAGAGAGTGATAGAGAAAGGGAGAGATAGAAGAGGAGGGGGAGTGTTGCATGCTGTGCCAGTCAGCGTAAAATGAGTAAAAAGAGAGTGTCGTATGGGTAGTGCCGTTTTTCCCTCCTTTCTCTTCCTCTTCACACTCACTCACTCCAATGGTGGACTAATACATCCTTATGCACGTATCTCTCAGGGGATCGATCGCCCGTCACAATGGTGTTCATCGGGACTACTCTTAAATCTGTCATTAAGTACTTCAAAAAGAAGGGTAAGCTCCTCAAATCATGTTTTGGGTTTCTCTTATCACTCGTGCAGCTCAAGGTCAAGTAGACCGAAGTAGTTTTGGGTGTGGGGTTATTCATCACTGCTGCTGTGTTTGCATGTATCTGATTCAGAGCGCTGTGCTACATTTGCTTGCGAGTTTCTTTTTATAGTGGGGCATCAGTCTCTTTATAGTGACCTTGTTCTGCAACTTTGAATGATTTTTATTGGTGATGTAAAGCTCTGATGCCCTGTTTTGTTCATTTTTTTTATATTCTACCTTTAGTGTTCACCAAACGATGCAAATTATTACAATTCAATTTAGAGAGATATATTTCAATTAAATTATATAGGATTGTAATGTCCATATGACTTCAGCTGAACAATGACACTATTTTCTTTTAGAGTTGCTGTACAGCCGAAAATGGATTTTCCCGTTATCACTGTAAAGCTGCTTTGAAACAATCTGTATTGTATAAAGCACTATATAAATAAAGGTGACTTGACTTGAATTATTGTTATGAATTATATTACTGTAAAAACTGTACAGTTAAGATTAGATTACACTAATACTGTACTTACTGTATTTACACATTTGAATTAGCCTTGGGGTATTTTCCAACAGAGCCATTGACTTTTTGGTGGACTAGTGAAATCTATCTCCATGTGTTTTGAGCTCATGACCTAGTACTCTCCCATGACCTCTTGCAGAGGAAACTGATTGTGAATAATCTATAATCACTGGCATACTTTTTTGTATGGAAAGAAATGCATTGATAAGGATGACCTGGTTAATCTTACCCAGAGGAACTTGGGATAATTGATCGTTTAATCTGGGTTGTCAAGGCACCAGCCGGAGACATGTATGTCTCCAGTGTCTTTAGACGCAGTGGTGCAGAAGTGTTTGATTGGCCCGGCCCCTCGTGCAGTTTTTCTTGTGTTCTCTCTGATGGAGCCTAAGAATCCTCACATGACTTCAGCTCCCAAATCTATCTCATGTGCCCAATGGCTGTTTTTCTTTCTGTTTGAATTGTATTTCCTTCTGCTGACATCTGAGTTGATTAGTTAAAACCAATTTGACTAATTTTCTAAATTTTATCTGGCTAATACCGATAAGCCAATAATTGTTTTATTGGTATGACCAATAGTAAAATTCTGTACTATTTTGTTGTGTAAAATATATCAATAAAAGTAAAATACACAAAACTTAAAAAAGTGAACTTGGGTATCATTATAATTGAAAGTATGAAGATGGATTTTTATATTGAGATTTATTTATAGAAATGTAGCATTTTTTAAAGATTAACTGTAAGTGAGTGTTAAGTGTACAGTGGCTGGGTACTGTATATGCACCCCTAAATAGTTCTAAAAGACAATGTTATTTTGGATTATGCTGTGGAAGAGACATGCATTCCTGGTCACATATGTTGTGTCCCCAAACGGGCATCTTGGTCAAATACTGTAGCTTCACCACAAAGACCTTGCTGGTCATGGTAAACCAGCACTAACCAGCATAAACCAACCTGGACCATCATGGAAGTTTGGTCAAAGCCGGTCTTTCCAGCCTATATAGAGGGTAGAGCAACAAAAATGCATAGTCTGCTTTAATCTATTGTCTGCCATCAGTTATTTAGGAGAAAAACACTGTAAATCTTTTCACATCTTCCAGTCTTATAATCCTAAATAGGATTGTTGTAGATTTTTTACACAAACAACTGATCTTCTTCCTTCAAACATTTCAAATTTGAATGTGTCCTTGTTTCTTTTCCCTCTAGCCGTGTCCAGTCTCGATGAGGAGAGCAAGTGGTCGGTGCACTACACAGCCCCCTGGCACCAACAGGAGAATGTCTTCCTGCCAGGGTCCAGACCAGCCTGTGTCGAAGACCTTCACCGCCAGGCCAAAGTCAACCTGAAAACAGTCCTCAGAGGTCAGGGACAAAAAACACAGTACTTTCCTTTTTTTTTTTCAAATGTAAAACACATTTATAATATTCTGAACATTACAACACATGATTAGTTATTTAAATAGAAATCCCATAGAAGATTCATAATTGCTCCATATAATCAGCTAATGCAAAATGCCCTCCAGCAGAATACCTGATTTCTGTTACAGACCATTGCTTATAATGACGATAACATTACCACTGTGCAGAAAGTTACATTTATTTTTAGAAATTATTATATATAAAATTAAACTATTACTCATTTTAAAGTTGCCATAGTCTTTTCTTCCTTATTGTGGCATATATCCAAGATAGTAAAACGGCTTCTGGAATGAGAAAAATGTAGGGAAGGATTTGATTTCTTCCTTCGGGAATTGATTGGATCGTAGGATGGATTGTGAATTGTGTTTCATGTTGTTTCTGAAACTTCCTGGTTTTATATCTTTGTCTTGTTTTTGGTTTATGTTACTTTGGATCAATTAACTCCCCACAGGGATTTTCCTGAACCAGCTCCTGTAGAGCCTAATGGCATAATGTCATCATCATTTGACCTTCTGCTGCACTTTGGTATATTATCCTATACTAGAGAACAACATCACTTCCTTTTGTATCTGGAAACCAGATACATTTTACTTTCATGACTCTTCTTAATTTCCTTCATTTGACCTTGTTGTTGCCTAAATAACTAGTCCTCTGAGGTGTTCTGGAATGCTAATGTACCGGTGTGTTTGTGAGCTGTCTTGGCCCCAGCGGGGGCAGCAGGTGGCACACCAAATGTCTGTTTTCCCTCTTTTCCCAGTGAGTTTTGGCAGGGTCATTGCTGTTGTCCTTCTATTTGTTATAGTTGTGAATTATTTATATTATATATATATATATGTATCTAATTTACATTAATTGACCACCCACATCACAGCTTTTTAATGATTTTCCTCTCACCCTCTGAATCACAATGTGACAATTAAGAGTCGACTCTGCCACTGCAGCTATACAATAACCTCTTTGTACCTAACAACATTATAGGTTTTGGAAACTAATTGGTTAATGGTTACCATGCGAAAATCAGTTGCTTTTATCCACTGATACTTTCACCAGTATAACCTTTTTCTTTCTAATGAAGATCAGCACAAAATTAGATGTTTTCTGATTGTCTATGGCGCTACAACAGAAGAAAGTTAGTCATACGGGTTAAATTGGAACCATAGAATTTTCCTTTTTTTTTTTTTTTGCTGATCTACTAATTTAACGCCTTCTTAGATGGTAGACGTAGCTGCTTATAGAAACGTACTAAGAGGTTAAAGTATTTGCTATGGGCAATGAACAGCATTTTTGTGCATGTTGCCTCCAGTAAGATGAGAAATGAGAGGTAAAATGAAAGAATTGAGGTGAGAGCACAAGTCAAGTCCTCTTAGTTTTAGGATTAAGACGACATCCCTCACACGTGCTCTGTCTCTCGCTCTTTGAGCTACTAACATATTAACCTGCACTAGCCTCTACTCACTATTCATAGCTCAACATGCACAGATAATTATAGTTGTTGACTCCAAGGGAGTTTAACTGATTGAAGTAATATTATAAGCCTCCTAAAACAAACCAACACACTTGTATACTATAATAGTGTGCTTCTGACAGTATGCAGCATGAGAAACACAAAGCTTATTCCTGCGTTTGGTGATGATTCACTGTGCTATAAAAATTCATGTAATTTAATTGAGTAATCTAAATGCCTCGGTCCAGTATACTGTGTAAGACATATATAAATATACTTTTAGAATGTAGGCCAAGCTGTTCCTAATTGCATTATATGTTGTTTGTAAGCTTGCTGACATTACAGCTTTGTGTTACTGAACTGTATAATCACCTGGTCAGTGCCACATACTGCCACATATACGTTTTTATGTTTAACATAGACATTTACAGTAAATTCATATTTATTTACTGCATGTAGTAACTAAAAAATCGTTTGCCATGAAAAAAAATTCTGTTTTTCCTCTCTAGGCCTCCTTCAGTGAAATGCTTTCCTGTGCTTACATATTACAGATGATAAGACGCTGAGATATTGTGCATTTTGGGCATACTGCAAACTACACTGGATGAGGTGTCGTGTCTTTCGTGATTTAATGCAGGAAGGATTAGGTGATTACACTGAGCTCTGCAAAAAGACAAGAGAGAGAATGGTTCATAGTGTTTCTCAGCAGGCACTCATTATGAAGGTGCCAGAGGAGGTGATCAGCTGAAATAAATGGATATGTCAGTGGCATTAGGTGGAGGTGAAGACCCCCTGCTCAGGCCATTCATAACCCGACAGTCAGATCTGACATATTCAGGTTAAACTCTCAGTCCTCCTGCAGTAAAAACTGACACTATTTTATTTGGTTGGAGGTCTTGTAGATATCTATCTATCTATCTATCTATCTATCTATCTATCTATCTATCTATCTATCTATCTATCTATCTATCTATCTATCTATCTATCTATCTATCTATCTATCTATCTATCTATCTATCTATCTATCTATCTATCTATCTATCAATGAGCATACGTCCACTTATCAGTCTGTAATTGCCCTCTCTCTGCACCGAGGGCAAAAGGACACTGTGGCTCTGCAGTGGTTCAGTAATATGCTGAGTGTGATAGAAGACTCATCAGGCTTTGTGGAACTAAAAATGTCTTCATTGCACTGTGCTTATCGGGATGCATTCTATGCTGGCTAAAAGTACATTAATCATTCTCATTTGCTCTCGTGTTTTATCTATTTAAATTCTGTTGATGTGTCGCCAGCTGTTTCTTCCTTCCAACTGGAGAACATAAGTACTGCAGTTATTTTTTCTGAAGAAATACTTTTTACATTTCCTTTTTATTGCTTCATTTAGTTCCTGTCCCTACTGGGTGATTTTGTTTTAAGGAAATAAAGTTTTGATTTTATAGCCACTTTGATTAATAAAATATTTGTTTAAGCAACCTGTGCACAAGCATGTAGTATGACTTGATGTGTAAATGCCAGGGTACCCCCAGGATCCTCCAACTTAAATTCAAGGCTTTTTAACTGTTACTAATGTAGGCTAATTCAAAATGTATGCAGCGTTGAGTGCACCTCGCGCTCCACATCATAGCAGAAAAAGCGATAGCGTGCGCACCCTTACTATGGTTACTAGGCAAGTGAGGTACAGAACAAGATAGCCTAGTTTAATCCGCTGTGGCCACAAATGACAGAATTTAAACCCCAAATAAGAGCTTTTCTGTTAAAAGAACATATTTTCTACCCGGTCTTTTCAATAGTATCTGGCAACCATGCGCGCGCGTTCTCTCTACACTGCTGAAGAAGCGCGGATGATCTGAAAACACAGACAAGCTGGAGTTCAGCGATCTTTATTTAAGATTTTCTACTTAAATTCAAGTGTCATTCAGTCGGTCTGTGTTCTGTCACGAGCCGCTTGCGCTGTTTGTGCGACTAAATCTGCGATCAAAATGCAGGCTGATATCCACCAGTGTTCATACGAGCAAGAATGCAATGTTTCCCGAATATCCACACGATTTCAAACGTGACATTGATTTTATACAACAGTAAAAAAAGAAAAGAAAAAAGGGTAACATTAAGTGATGTACTACATTGAAAACAGCATTGTCAGGCTTGCTCTGTTTTGCAGTTTTGCAACGAAATATGTGGCTTTGAACGAATCGTGAGATTCAATGAATGAATGACTCAAAGTCAAAGACTCACTCATAAAGATAGTGAGTTACTGCCACCTACTGGCGATTTTAATGTTTTTTAACATTGCAAATTTATTGAACATTGTTTTATTTAAAGCATTATTTCTTTTTTTCTTTTTAAGGTATTACAAAGGTAAAAAATGAAATGGAAAAATGTATTAAAGGGGGCAAATCTTGTCCCTTAATAGAAAAGGTGTGACTGCACCAGGGGGTACGGCACTCTAAAACATTGGAGAACCAAATTATGTAGAACTGCACAAGTGCTACTGCTAAAGAGTGCAATGTCAATAATTTCTCATAAGCTTAATTGAATTGGCCTAGAGAGAATAATTATTATTACATTTTCTGTCTAAAGACTACATAGCTATAAAATAACTACCAAAAGTAAAGTAACTGCAGTTTGACTAAAAGTTGACAAAAAATGCAAAGACTTTTCGTCAACTACAACTATAAAAAACAGGATGACTCAAATGTGATTAAGACCAATAAGCATTTTCGTAAATCAAAAATGGCTGCCAAAATTAACACTGGCCTACATACACGTGCGCGCTACAATGCTGTTGCGTATGTATTAAATATGACTGATAATTTAAGTAAAATGTTTTATTTAATTCAAGTAGCCTCCTTGTACATAATTAGTTTCTAGGGTTTAAAATGCATACAGATTTGACGTTTTCCCCTCATACTTCTGTTGGAATGGGTACGAAGTTGGCATTGAATTTCATTTGAAATGGTATTAAAAAGGTCTTAATTTTGTTACGGTATGAACTTAATCCTAGCAAAGGCAAAAAAATATATAAGACCTTTGTAACGAAATCCAAGACTTTGTATAGCCTACTAAATTCAAGGCTTTTAAGGCCTTAATTTGAGATGATCAAATTCAAGACTTTTTCAAGGCTTTTAACTTAAGACCCGCGGGTACCCTGAAATGCTCGCTATAGGCCTGTGATCTGCGTTAAATGAGCTTTGCACACTTATTACCACAACAAATTGTTCATGATTGGATATGCTTGCCTCTCCAGAGTGCGACAAGCTCAGGAAAGATGGCTTCCGCAGCTCCCAGTGCAACTCCCAAAGCCCTGCCTTCTCTGCAACCAGCCTTTGTGAAAGTGTGCACCTGGATGAGGAGAAGACAGAGAAGAAAAAGAAGGTAAAGCCTGACCTTAACACAGATTTGGAAAACTGTCCTTACCTTTGCATTCACATGTATGCTGTTACTAGAGAAAAACAACATTTTTTGCAATATGTTATATGCAGTATGGAATGCAGTTTATAATCGATCTCACCAGATTATCACCAAAATCCTGTTGGCTTTTAATTATATAGGTCAAGCTGGTATTCAGGCTTTGTTTTCAAATCTGAGTTGACATGAATAAAAACAAGAGCTCTAGTTAATTTCAAAGATTTTTTTTTCTTGTTGTTAATTGTTATATTGTATAATGAGAGCTAAGTATGCTCACATCAGTCACATGTCCATGATGAAACAGACAAAGGCCTGGTTTTCTCCCTAAATACTTAGGAACATGATTTGGGTGTCTTGTTTTGCACTGCCCCCTAGTGGCTGTGAGCTTGCTAGCAGTGTAGTCCAGTCGTTCACCTATCCGCTACAATCAATGATCAAACTAGAGAGTATTTGTTCCATATTCTGTAATACCAAAGAAAAGTATTGTCTCACTTCACTTTTGTTCCTTTATTTTCCACAATTTCTTTTCTCTCATCAAGCGGTTTAAAGTCCTAGACTGCCTATCACAGTCTTGCCTGTCTCTCTGCTGTCATTTGAGATCTTGGAAAAGAAAGGTACCTCTCTCACTGCAGTTGCTAGTCAGTGGTAGCACTGTGCTGTGTGAAGGTTGGCTTCAGATCCTAACAAGTCCTCATAGCGTCTCCATATACAACCTACTAGTGCTAGTCACCCGCCGTGAGCGTTTTTTCCCCCCTCAGCAACTTAGAGACATTGAGTATGGTAATTACACAAATTAGGCATAATTAATACATAATTAGATTGTGTATTTCCCTCGAGCAATCTTGCAAATTTATAAGAACGGTTTAGGCAAAGCAGAACAAAAGAATGTCTAATATGTGTTTTGGGCAAAAAAAAAAAAAAAAAAAAAGTATCTTGACACATTATGGTTGAAAAACCTGGCTGTAACACTGATCTCAAATTAGCATGAATAATTTAGAGAGCAGCTCTCCTCCATTCAGGGCTCCCTTGGGCTTATTGCTCAGAGAAATATTTCAGTCACACAATGTGAGGGAAATGCACTCCAAGAGTCTTTTTTACTCTGCTCTTTTTGGAAAGCACTTAATTGAATTAACAGTAGAAATGACCAAGTATCAGACAATACCTGTCACTGGGCATTGGCTAGGCTATCATTCACAGAATCCTGATCTCACTAAATCAGTCTGTTTGTGTTGTGTTCAGGCTTCAGATTCACCTAATGAAGAGGAGAAACTCGTGTACTCAATGCCGCCTCAGACCCCTTTGCTGGATTACGGCTCTGACATGGACATCCAGAGAAGCTGGACCAACTGTCTACCTTTGCCTACTCCTGAGGAGAAAATGAGACTAGAGTCTCAGTCGGTGGCCACTGATGTCATTCCCATCAACATTACAGGTACCTCCATTGTTAAATCATGAAGTAACACTTGACTTTAACAACTCTGTTGATAATCACATATATATTTTTTTAGGAAATACTTATTTTACGAGAAGAATTTATGACAGATTTAAGATTAGGAGAGTGGGTTCCTCTAATAATTTCAGTTCTTCTCAGCTGCAATTAGGGATACACCAATATTAAAACTATGGCCAATATCACTTAGTCAAATATTATTTTCACGCCATTAAGTGGGCATATTCTATACTATATATTTTGTCTAAAAGAATTTAAAATAAAACATTAAAAACAAAAAATCATAATAAATGCAACAAGTGAATTTAGGCATCACAACAATATAATTTAAGTAAAGTAAAATAGATATTGATTTGTGATCAGTGTTATTAAATTTTTTGTGTTTTTAAAGATTAACTTTAAGTGAGCATTAGATGACAGCAAAGGTAATCTTAACCCTCTATGGTACGCATTATGGTCTAACCATGAAATATTTTTCAAATAAGTTTTTATTACATGAAATAGCTTCAATCTTTTTGGATTGCTTAGGGAAACATTGAAAATGGTCAAAAAAGTAGTTTTTCTATAAAATTATTATTTTCTTTTCTATTTAATTGCACATTTATTTTAGAAATTAATAAATGTATATACTTGGAACTCATGCATACCAAAAATAAGTAGATCCCTATTATTTAATCCCTATCATTCCCAATAATTTGGCTAACTCATCCTCACTCTCATCACATGGAAGAGCTAACTCTGCACCCTTTCTGTAAAATATTGCTGTATTCATTTTCTGAAAAGAAGAAATCAATTTGTTATTTATACATAAATACAACTATACTACAATAAACACTTCAAATAAATAAATAAATAACTGCAATCATATTGTTGATGCTACTATCTATAAAAAATCCCAATAGGGAAATACATTACTGCAATTCCACTGTGGTACAGCGTTGCCATATGGAAACATTGATATTTTCTCAATTTTACAGTAAAACTATGTTAGACAAGGTTGATTTTTGAATAATACAATCTAATTTACTTATCAAAGATGCTGCAAAAAAAAATCCCCCTTGAGAATTAGGTTAATAGAGCAATTTCTGGAGCACTTCAACAGGTGTCTTCCGTGTGAGGGTGACAGTGGGAAAGAGAGTTTTGGAGGGACATTCAAATGTCATGTGACTTAAAAACAGCACATCATTGGCTACCTAAAGGCATGCCCTTTCAATTAAATTGTATTTTTTTCTGAATAATAAGGAAATGAGTAGAAATTAATTGTTGCCATATGGCAATGCCGTAACATAAATTAGAAAAAATAGGAAAAACGAGCATGCACATAATATTGACCAATATATACCCAAAATGGACAAAATACTGATAAAAAAAAAAAAAAAAAAAAAAAAAATAATAATTTGTAGATATATCGTGCATCTCTAACTACAATATAGTGCTGTGAACTCTGCATGAGGCATACCATTAATGAACACTGGTTTTCTATGTTCTTATATCTTTAGGAGAGAACTTTGACCGCCAGGCCAGTTTCCGTCGCTCCTTAGCAAACACGGATACCATAATACGAAGACCCAAGAGGGTGCAAAGAAGGAAGACAATAACAGGAGTTCCTGACATTATCCAGACTGAATTAGGTATGATTCCTATTCATATAGCATTCATATACGTCACACCCTTCTCAGCCAAATTAAAGGTGCACTTAGTAATTTTTCCCACATTAAAAGTTTTACACATGAAGGAATGAATAGTACTTTTTAAATAATGGTTAAAACAATTTCCTACAATTAGTCCAGTCATATCAGTAGCCTAATAAGAGTTGTTGTATTATACATTGAGTGTTTAACCTCATAGGGGCTGACATGACCTGTTACATGACCTGTACACATTAAATCTGGTAAATTACCGTAATTACCAGAATAACTCCTCAGGTGAATACAAAACTGTCCTGTGCACACAAGCAATGGTGTTTTTACCGATAAGATCCCATTCATATTTCAGTACCTAAATACTATTAAACACTGTAATGTGATTGTGAATCACTGGAAATTACCTATAAACGCTACGCTGTTTTCTTCATCCACCTGGATGAAAAGCGCTTTAGATTCACTATCTGTCCAAGTTGACAACATTAATTTTTTGGTGACAGGTGCAAAGGGATGATCACACAGAATGCAGGTTTGTTCTTAAAAACATGAGATGAATAATAGTTAGTATAGTACAGAAGTTACTAGGCTATAGTACAAAAAAGTAACTGCAGAGCTGCAGCGCTGATGAATGGAAAAAAAGGCAGGGTTTCGAGCGTGAGACATGGCGCAATTAGTGGTCAGACGTCCGTCTAGCGCATATTTACATAGAAACAGTTAAAAACAATGGAACACTGTAAACAGCTCCTACAGAGCTTTATGACTGGCCCAAAGCATACTTCTTATGACAACACATCCTGCCCTTGTACAATCAGACTGGTAATTTACTGGTAATGTAAAGCAAAACTTCTCATACAGGAAAATTGCCAGCACTGATTTACTGGTATTTCTGAAAAGTTGATTTACCGGTGATTTACTAGTAAAGACTGTATGTGTGAAAGGCTACTGTTTGAAATTTTTGGTGGTCGAAATGCAGGGTCGAAATGCAGTGGTCGACTAAGGCTGACTGTTAGTAAAGAACTAGACATTGGTAATTGAAAAAGGTTTGCTTTTTCAGTGCGATGCTATATTTATGTCACTAGGTGTCAGTACAGTCCAAGATGACTGCCATGTTAACACAACACTAAAATAAAATTACTGAATACATTAGGTTAACGTAAATGTTGGAGCTTAAAATTCTATAGGTTTATATGAATTAGTATTATTATTATTTAAAATACTAAAATATATAGTATATTTCTTTATTGTATTTTAATCCTTTTTTGATATGTATAAATGTTTTGTTGGAATAATTAAGAAAGAAAATCAAACAAACAAACATTCACCATGCATCTATAATTCCCATTACTGTTTTCTTACAGCAAATAAAGAACAAGCTGACTCCAGAATTCATTCCATGTGTATGGCAGATCAGTACTCCACCCTCAGTCGAGTGGGAAGTGTAAACTCCACCCTGAGACGCTCAGACACCCGAGACTCAAGTTGCCAAACAGAAGAGTTGAAGGTTGTTCCTCCCTCAGTACGCAGAATCAGAGCACAGAGAGGCCATGGAATTGCCGCCCAAATGGCCAGCGTCTCCTCCTCAAGCAGCATTTCCACCATAAGTGACTGTAATGGTATTGGCTACACTCAACTTAATGACAGTGATCAGAGCTTTCGCAGTTTGCCACGACAAGGTTCTCGCGTCTCGCATCAACACTGTGAACCAGAGTACAACAGCTCCCCCTACAGAATGAATTCTGGCTCTATAAGCTCTTTGTCCTACCAGTTTGACATGCAGCATGGCTCTTCATCATCACTGCAAATGCTGTCTGACTCCAGAAGCAATACTTTAAACAGCCCCAAGCTTGCTGAAAATCCAAATTACCAAGGCTCTGATCAAAATAATAGCCCAAGCTTGTTCAGTCTCAGTGGTGCTCTACAGAACTCCATTCTTTATGGACACAAATGGGCAGAGGATAACCAGATACAATCACCTCATTCTTTAGCCCAATTGCTTAGTTCTCCTGAAGCCCCGTTGTCAGCTGTCTCCTCCTGTTACGAATCCACAGCTTCACTCTGTACAGGGTCCCAGTGCAGCACACTTGATGGTAGAAACTGCAGCAGTCCTAACTGTGTCCGCAGGGATTCCAACTTCTCAGAGAGCAGCAATCAAAGCTGCAGCACACTAACCACTGACCAGTGGACATATGAAGTTTCTCCAAAGGACAACGTCACCTCAAGTTGCTCCTCACCTGTTAGCCATATATACAACAGTGAGGAACATTCTCCCAGCAAGACGGACACAAGCTCATTGTTCTCTGTTGACAATGAAGGTTACTACACCTCCATGCGCCTGGACTCTGGTTTGAAGTCACATAGTCATGGCTGCATCAATAAAGCAGGGGATGCAAGGCACAGTTTGTACGAGTGCAAGGACCACCACAGCGAAGGTGACCATGCAAGTCTGCATAGCAACCGCTCACTGACACGTAGCATTTCCCTGCGGAAAGCCAAGAAGCCTCCACTCCCTCCTGCAAGGACTGACTCCTTAAGGCGCAAGCCCCAGAGGAAGCCTCATCACAGTGGTTCGGTGCTTAGTGAGCAGTTTATCTCCAGTCTCCAGCAGTCCTTAGAGCTTAATCTAAAAACTCATAGTTCATCTTGCTCCGAACAGACACCCTGTGGTAGATTTGAAGACCCTTGGGTGCTCAGACCCAGAAGCCAGAGCACCATAAGTGCAGCAAGCAGTGGGATGTCCGCACCAGCTGCTGTATGTCCGGTCACACCCACACACAGCGACAGCAGCAGTCAGCGCTCGGACTATGCAGAGTCATGGGACTTCTACATGGATTACCCTGGTCCACGGCCCGACCAGGGTCTCTCGCCCCAAATCACAAAATCTGCAAGTGTTGAAGAGAATCAAGGGGTCATTGGCAATGTATCCAACAACACTGGATTCCCATCGTCCCACTTCAACAATAGTGGTATTCAGTCAAAATTGGCTTCCTCACCTGATAAGGTTCATCGCCTGACGTCACCATCAAGTGGTTATTCAAGTCAGTCCAACACTCCGACTGCAGGCACTCCCGTTACTTCTCTAATAAGAGCAAAGTCTCCGGCAGGGAGGCCAAAACCAAAAGTGCCTGAAAGAAAGTCCTCCCTGCGGTCTTCTGTGTCATCCTCCTCTACATCCCTGTCCTCCAACACATCAGATTCTATCAGGAACATCCCGCCACCTCCACCTGACATGACTTCTGAATCATATGGGTCATCCAGCCCTGCGTCTTGCTCTCCAACAGCACCTATGATAGACCCAACCCCACCTCTACCTGACGTATCCTCTGCCTTGGAAGAGAGACATAATCCACTTTCAGATTCATCCACAACACCTGAAGAATGTGACTTTCTTGATTTCCCCCCTCCCCCGCCAAATGTTTTTGAATCTCTGTCAAGCAATGAAGGTACAAATAGTCCTTCACCTCCTCCACTTCTTTCTCCCGAACCATCATTGTGCACTTTATCTTCTCTTCCTCCTCCTCCACCTCCTCCACCATTACTTAAGATGAATCTTAAAACTCCAGCCATTTTGAAGACAGAGAGTTGTCTTAGACCTACGGAGGCTGTAGAAATTGAAAAAGGACTGAACAATCACACTGGAGGGCGAGAGAAGAGACAGAAACCAATAATCACTGCCCAAGCTCTTCAGATGGTGCATCTACGACCTGTCAAGCCCAAACAAATAGAAAATATCTTTCCAGCAGTCCGTTTTGATAGTTTTGATGACCAAGCACATAACTATTCTGAAACAAACTCAGGAAAGTCTCCAGAAAGTGAGACTACAGAGCAAACAGCAGAAAATGCCATTGAAATATTTGAACATGAATATTCAGTGAACAAATTTATACAAGATTTTCCTGAGTCATTTAATGGCTCTATACCCCCTGTCCCAGATGAACATATCAGCAATACTGGGCAGAATGTTCCAGAGTACCTTTCTAAGACATGTGCAGTTTTATCTACCAACAAGCTTCTGCAGTGCACAAGCTCCACAGCTTCTCCTCAAAGTCCTCAGCTGCAACAGAAGCCTCCAATATCACCTAAGAAGCCCAATCTTTCCCTTATTATATCACCGATTATGCACCCACCTGTTTCTAATGTATTCAAGCTTCAACAGGTTCATGAAGCACAAGAGACACTTGAGTCATGGCAAGTGAATGATACATCTCCAACAAAGACAGTAAATTTGCAGGCAGTTCCTTTAGACCTTGAGGTAGGGGAAGAGAGTGACTCGGACTCTTCAACCCCTGCGATCAAAAGCAGACTGTCTCTCAGTAGTGAGCTGTCATCAAACAGTCTCCAAGACCTACAACTCTCTGATCTCATTCTTCATGAGCATGACCTCAGCCTGAGTGATAAAGACTTTGGGCTCTGTGATGATAAAAGCACATCCGATGATGGTTCAAGCAGCAGCTCAGGATCCATAAGCTTTAAAGAGGACGAACATGAGGAAAATGGTAAGGGCTTCTTTTATTACTAGCTTAAAACTAAGAATTTAAGTTTATGTGTATTGAGGATCACTCTAGTGTTCCAAACCAATGATTGTGCCAAACGATCGTGCATTAGAATTTACTATTCAACTTTACATCCATCAGCAGAGCCATGTGTAACTGCAATTTGTGTTGCATGAATTACTAGACAATATTATTTTTATTAGGTTATGGATCTAAAATAAAAAGTTAATTGGTTTGATATATCAACACATTCAATAGTTCTAACCCTCCAATGCATCCCCATTATGAGTGAAGGCACAGTTCCTGTTTGTTCACGTGCTACAGGAATGACTACAACTCTATGATTGTTTATGCGTTATCTGTTATAATAGTTACTTTTGAATCAGCTAAGAAAGTTGAATGAGAGCCCTTGAGTGTGTGATGGTTAGCAGGTTTAGACTGTAATATTCTCAAGCCTCTTTAGTGCTCACCAAAGTGCAGTTATTGCACAACAGCAGGACTTCCAAAAGAGTGTGAATAATTTAAAGAGCAGAACATGTCTGATGCATCATGGGTTTTATGCCTTTCCGATTTTTCACTCAGTGTAGGCTCAGTCTTCATTGTTTCTTCCCACTTTGAGAGGTAAGCTGAGTGTTTGTTTGTGTGTGGGCTGTAGGTGCCGCGTTCGACTCGAGCTCTGAAAGCACATCTGGCATTAACACTATAAGAGAGGCTGTGGAGGAGATGGTGACGCCTGTTCGTCCTCGTACAACAGAGGACCTCTTTGCTGCCATCCATAGGTAATGTAATGTGATGGTTTTTTTATTTAGCCAGTAAAGCCTGCATAATGCATGCAAGTAAAAAAAAAAAAGTTTTATTTGTATAAGTACATTAAACACGAGCATACAAACTGTTGAAGGCTGTGCTCAAAAAGGTAATAATAATACGTTTATCAGTCAACATAAATTAGGGTTTTATTCATTTGCATAGAAAGTATTATTGTATTACGTTTGTATTGACCTATAAAAACATGTGACAGTTTATTCAGAAAAGGTCAGAATATTCAACCTCCCCTCATTGTGTTGTCCAGGATAAACTTCGTTTTGTCTGATAAATAGAGTTGAGCAAATTTCAGAACTGGCTCCCTTTTGAAATGTGAATTGAATTGGTCAAACCACACAGGATGTTCAATTGAAATTTTGAATTATTTTGAATTTTGAAATTTTGGCAGGGAGAGGATGACAAAACAGATTTTTTATAATATAAATAGAATTACATACTTTCATATTATACAAATTTAGCCATCCAACTGATTTTATTTTATGCCATAGAGCATCACAAAATAAAAATACTTCATATAGTGTGAATGTGATAAAATGTTTTTTTATTCATACTGAAATGAAATACATTATTAAAAACTATACTTATAGTCAACTTAATGTAAAGTTACATGAATTTTTCAATTTCATTAGATTACATACTTTAAATTCAAATTTAATTTGAGGCTTTTGAGTTTGCTACAGTACATTAATTCAAATTCAAGAATTGAATTGGAATTTAATTCAGTTCTGACTGGAGCTCAACCCTGATAACGCGTAAATGAGCCTGTAAAGTTATTCATTCTCTCATCAGAAGTATTAACATAATTACATAAATTAATATACAATATATAAATCATATATAAATTATATAATATAATTTTAAATGTATGCAAACACATTTTTAATAAAAGAAATGTGGGTGGTAAATCACTTTTCTGTAGAAGTCCTTTCAGTATTTCTTTTTATTGAAACATTATAAATTTACAATGTTTTATCTTGGTATTTTTGATGGTCTATACAACATGTATTATACTGACTTTTATGACAAGTTGTGTTCTTTTAATCACTCAATTTTAATATTGTTGGAGTTGTGTCATGTGCTCATGCATTTTTGTTGAATCGTTTGTCTAAATGTGTCATCTGGAGCAGTCTACGTAGACAGAACATGAACATCCAATAACAGGTGTGGAGTAAACTGGCAAGTAACGTCATTGGCTGGTGTTGTGTACCTGTAGTTTGGCTAGGGTCAGATTACACCCATAATCCAGTAGCTCCTTTAAAATAATTAATTATCCTCTTTTTTGCCCTCTCTAATCCCCAAGCTCTGTTTCATGGTGTTTGTATTGTGGTGTCACACCTTTTGTTAGTTTAAAAGTTAAATGGACTGTGTGTATATGAAACAACCTGAAACACACTGTGAAAACACAGAGCTGTGAAGATTATTCTGGTATGACTGTAGCATAGAGTTTCAGGACAGAACTAAAAAGCACATGATGCAGTTTTATTCTAAGAGGATTTGTCATCATTAATTTGTGTGAATCAAAGTTTAATGCCTAGAAAGATCTGACATTCAAGTGCTCCTAATAAACAGCCTAAGGGAACGTGATGGGCTAACTTTTAAGAAATCATGAAGGTAGATGTGGAATTATTTTTTATGGGTATAGCAGAATATAAAAAGACATTTATCATAACTCCCACAAGATATTTAAAGTAATAAGAGGGTAGTATCTTTTTTATCTTTATAGTTGAAATGTGGAATTTTTCTATCAATTGAATTTAAAAAATGACTCCCCGTATCTGCCATTCGTTTGATACCCAATGGTCCTGCTCCCAAACTCACGCCATTTAATGAGCAAACCCGTTCAAACCTGTTCAAACCCACATTTGTCCACCTACGTATGGCTTACTTAGTTTGCGAAGGATATTAAACTGATGAAGGAAAAAGTATTATAACATCAAAAAATGTACACAATCCACCTCTACCAATACCTCATTTAATGTTATCTGATGACCTTCAGGCCTGAAAATACAATGCTACACATTTGTATACATATTTATATATTCATTATGTTGAATCACTTCTGAATTATTTAACCTAACATTTTTATCTCAGTAGACAGAGGACCCTGTCTACAGCCCTACAACAAATGACAGTCTCATGTTCACTGATTTATAGATCAAAAATGCTACACATGGAAATTGCTCACTCGTGGTTTCAACAACATCAACAAGAAGACATGCAGTAACCATGCCAAAGGCTTACCTGAGAACCTGTCCTTCTGTCTTTTTAATCCCCAGGTCAAAGAGGAAGGTCCTGGGCCGTGGCGACTCTGAAGAGGAACGCTGCCGTAGCCTCCCCCCTTCACCACCTGTCACTCCAACCGGCTCCTGCCCCAGCCTACCTTCTTTACCACGTCATACAGGCTCCATTCAGCGCAGCCTGCGGCGCTCAACCACAAGCAATGACAGTTTTAAAGCTCTGCTACTTAAGAAGGGCAGCCGCTCGGAGTCCAGCTTCCGCATGTCAGCCACTGAGATTCTCAAATGTACAGACCCTCGTTTCCAGAGGGCTAATTCGGAGTGTGCACAAGCTGACGAACTGAGCATCTCTCCGACAAGCAGCAGGAGAGCGCCTGAAGAGTGGGCACGTATGGAGGGAGCCTTGCCCCGCCTCACCACCGGACTAACAACCCTAAAATATGGGCGTTCAAGCACACCACCTTCCGCAGCCAGCAGTCGGTACAACAGCCGCTGCCGCATTCTCAGTGGGCCAATGACTGCCATCTGTGAAAAAGAGGGAGAGGTGGCCGAGTCTACAGACTGCTGCATTAGCACTGAGAGTCATTTCACCCTGCCTATATCCTCCAGCAGCACGGTCTGTGCTCAAGGCAGCACTTAGGGCTCTCAACTCACCCCCAACTGCCTGTAAGAGATAGTAATCCATTCAATATGAAGACCGTGGTGGTCTAAACTCTGGCTGGAAGGCCATGCTTGTGCTGGCCGATAGCATTCCCCAAGGAATTAGTGAGAAGAGAGAATGGGGGAAGTTTCTGTAATTCTGTAACCGTAGTTTTGCTCTTTTCCTGAGAGTTTTGTCTTTCTTAAGAAATTAGCGTTCTTTGAAAAATGTTATATTAACAGAGGTATACTGGTTTGATCAAAGGTTCTTAGCTCTCAGTATGAAGGTTAGGAGTTGGTGGTAAGTTGAGGAAACAATGAATGGAAGCAGAATGTCATTGAAGGATTTTGTGTTGAATGGTCCATGCTGATGCGTTTCTGCATCTGTGAAAATGGAAAGTACTTAACCAAAGTGAGCACTGAAACACTGAATGCACAGAAACCGCATCCAGATCACTTTTGTGGCGTTGGTGGTGTCAATTGTATTGGCATTATCAAGCATGATAGGTTTTGAAGGGTGGTACATGACTGTATGGTTATGGTGAAGTTGCTAAAGAATGAGTGTGGACAAAATGGAGATTTTTAATAAGTGTTTAGAGAGACTGGTTTAAAATATGTATATTTTACGCACCTTTACATTCTTCATTTCTTTTTGATTGTGTCGAACAATCTTATGTTAGAGCAATGAGAGAAATGGAATTTTATCTGAACATAAAGTTAAACAGTTAATGCAAGTACATTTTTAACTATCTGTTTACGGTTAGACAATAATAATAGTTCTCTATACTTCAGTGTAAATAAACCAGCCTTCACAAAAGCCAGTTACCAACCATTCTGGTTCATATATAGAAACTGAAAGCTTCTATTTAGGTCATGTTTCTATTTACTGTAGGTTCTTCAAACGCTGAGAAATTCCTTGCCTTTGCCTGTCTCACATTTGCCCAATATGACAATTTGTACATTTTCATGTTTCTTATTTCCAAAGGGAGGTACTGTTTAGTCTATTTACTGTACTACGTGCACCTGAATGTTCTTCTTCCCATAGTACTGAACACCAGCAGAATGGTAGTAGAGAAATGGTAAAGCCCCTGTAAATGCCATGTGAGATGCAAGGGTTTCTGTGAAAGAAATAAAACATGGCATTAATCTCAAAACACCACGTGTTTTCTGTGAAATATATGCAGTATTTATTTCTGATCTACTGTATCAGAGCTTCATATTTACAGGAGTGACTGCAGTAGTAGGATGAAACACAATCCATTGACGTCATAAAGGTAATCACATCTGATTGCTATCATCCTTGCTGAGATTTACAGTGTGGACAAGGCCAAAGTGTTGTCTGGCCAAATATAGGACTTTCTGCATTCTGCTCCAGCACAGAAATGTCCACACTGCCGTAATGATGACAGTAATTTGTTGTGATGTTGTTTTTAATCATAAACCTATGAATGGTAGGAGCATCAGTTTTTTATTATGGAATTATGGATTACCCATTAAATCATTTAATTTATTTATTTGGTCAATTGAAGTTAAGCACATCTCCAAACGTCAGGACATGTGGGCTGTGGGCCAGTGATGCAAATAGACTGCAGACGTACGTGATCCCTTACGCAATTAAATCCTTTAGTATAGATGCAACAACCTTAGTCTTGAGACCGAGCAGTCACTGATGTTGATGGATGTGGAGCAACAGAATCAGGAGTTTTTTATACACTTTAGCAAGAAGACATTTCTGCTTCAGTAGCAAGGGAGATTTAGCATTTCTAAAACACAATTCTATTGGCTATTAATTGGCCTATTGTCACACTTGAGTTCATAACTCAACAAGGTTCCTGTACGAAAAGGTAAGTTACTGTAACTTTAGTCTGACAAACTGAGAGTATTGAATTGTCTTATGTGGCGATCCAAATAAGTAATTTAACTGGGAAAATTGTTTATAATAATTTAATACTGGGTAAATGGCTAAATTCAATGGCTATCTATACTAGCTATGGACGTGTGTCCATAAATATGCAGTATATTCCTTTTCAGTATCGTCTCAGGAACTGGAGAGAGGAAAGAGATTAACTAATGGCATACATGCATCTCTTGCACTTTAACATGATTAGCTTCTGGAACACAGAATGGAAACCCTGTTACTGTATTACTATTTTATTTGAAATGCAAAATATTACAAATCTGTTCTTGCTTAGCCTATTAAGCAAAAATGAGCATTAAAATTGTGCAATGATCACATTTTACTCTTTTTTTAAATAAAGTTAATTATTTAAAGTCAAGCCTACTAAAAAGACCAAAGCTATAGCCTACTAAATATTTTTTATAAGGCCTATTGAAATATTTGTTTACATATACTGTTCTAAAACATTTAAAATATTTACATAAATAATTTGATAGCCTATATATTTTACATGTTCAAGCAAGTTCAAATTCCCCATAAAATAGGCCCTACAGTCATATTTGTGAATTTTGAAACCGGTGTCTGCTTTAAAAACGTACAGTACATTTACAGACAGGTAAATGTGATAATTCATATGTTTGATTAATTAATTATCTCCTTAGTAATATACGTTTAATCACATCTAAATAAAACAGTCAACTGAATGAAAAGAGTAGCTATGGTTGCTTATTCAGACAAGACTATAGCCTAGTCGTGGCAGGTTAGAGCCTAATCAGCCTATAGCCTACATTTTGTGAAGTTTTTAACGGTTCTCTACCAGTATTTACGTTTTCACTGTTTGTTTTTTTCTGTTGTTTTGTTCTTATTTACTAATTTTCCTAATCTAATTTAACCCCGTAGGACAACCATAGCAAACACAAATGGAAATTCTCACACGGCTGTTCCCCTACACGAAAACGGTTGCAGGACTGAAAACAGCTTTAACCCAAGTCCTGAAGTTTAGGGAACCGACGGCGGAGGCTGGTAGAAAAGCCACTCATCTTCCATCCGTTAATATCCACCGAGAGAGCCAAACATTTCGCGCGCAGCTCCGCGCCCCCTTCACATGGAGCGCGCTAAAGCAGAGGCGCAGCTCACGCGGGCTCATTACAGCGCAGTTGGCGGGAATTGTGTTTCAATTAATGTCTGTAACGGTCGCTGATGAACGGAGTCTCATTAGTAGGCCTACATCAGCAGCACCGAGTAAATGCGATGGATTGAAATCCTCCACTTCGTGTAAGACTTATCGTGTGATCCCAAAAGAGATTTAGACTTAATTTTCTTTCTTTTCTTTTTTTTATGAGACATTTTTAGACTCTAGAAAATTGATTAGAAGAAAATTGAAGAGATGCCACTTGGTGTCAGTAATGAGTCGTTTATAAAATAAGAATATAGGCTAGAAATCAATAGGCTACAGGCAGGGGTGCCAAATCCTCCTGGAGATCCTACGCTGAGTTCAGATCTATCTAACCTTGATCCAACACACCTGTCTTATCCTCCTGAAGATCTTAACTAGCTTCAGTTGTGTTTGATCAGTTGAAGCTGAACTTAGCATGAAGGTATACAGGCCTAGATCTCCATGAACAGGATTTGGCATGGACAGCAGGCTATCTACGGTAATTCTTGATGAAAAGGGCTAACTGCTTTATTTTAATTTATTAAAGGACTGTGTTGAACTGTTAAGATTAATAATCTGTTAATCTAAACACAACAACAACAACAAATATGACTTTGATTTTTAAATTTTGACTGAGCATGTATTTTGACTTTTATAGCCTTACAAAAAAACCATTGTTTGCCATGGAAATGTATTTATTGTAGCCTACTTGTTTGTATTTTGTTGCCTATTTAGTTTGTATTTCAAACTAATGTATTAGCCTATGTATAAAATACCAATAACACTTTACAATAAGGTTCATTAGTTAACAACATTAGTTAGCATGGACTAATAATGAACTGCACTTATTCAGCATTTCTTTGTTAATGTTAATTTCAACATTTATACATCAGTTAATGCACTTTGAACTAACATGAACAAATAATGAATAGCTGTTTTTTTATTCACTAACGTTAACAAAGATGAACAATTACAGCAAGTGGGTTGCTCATGGTTAGTTCATGATAGTTAATACATTAACTAATGTTAGCCTAACTATGAACCTTATTGTAAAGTGTTACCAAAATATCTAACATGTAACCACTCACTGTGTTGCAAAATCTGATTTGGGGTTGACTTGATCTGTATTTACATTACAGTTCCTCTGTCTTAATTTCTCGGAACGCTAATAATAATTAACATCTTAAGAAATAAACACAATCTTACGGAAGCCCTGAACCGTAACGTAAAAAAAAAAAAAAAATCTCGAACTATTTCTAGGCTACTTGATTTTTTTTTTTTTTTTTTTTTTTACGTTGCAGTTCAGGGCTTCCGTACAATCTACAAATCAGAAAAAACATGGCATAGCTTACAGTAATTTTTAACTCATCCTGCCAGGTTGTCCTCTAGACCCAGGATTTTCAGCAATGGGTCCTCTGGTCCATTGAGAGGACATTGTCACTAAATTGTTAATTATTTCCATATTTATAAATAAAAGATTTGTTTATAATTGTCAATATTATTATGAAGTGCTTCTGAGAAAAAAAAACAGGGTAGGTCTGTAACAGTTAAGGAAATAAAAATAAACATCAGGTTTTACCTCTAATATAGCCTATATACCACTAACAGCAAAAATATATTTTACACACCTATGGGCATATTTTACTGTGGCAAATATGCTTACTATGATCTACACTCACAGACACTTTTATTTCAGTCTTGATTCTTCAAAATGAGTTGCCATTTCAGACCCACAGTTAATAGGCATATTTGTTTGGAATAGCATTTGAAAATAGTCATTATTGCAAGCTACTTCTAATAGTTAGCGTTTAAAATGTGAAACAAATGTACAGTGAGTGTGTTTTATTTCACTTTTGTGGATACAGAACCATTTGAAACTGATAGTTTACAATTCACACCCGGGTAAACAGTATATAGGCAAGCCTTTACCAGATGAAGTGTCAGAGTCAATGCCCATTGGTGCAAAAATGGGGTATGCAGTATGTGCAGTGCATAGGGGTGCCACTGTGCCCCATTCTTTGAAAATCTCCTTTAATGAAATTTTATATAAAAAAAATATTTGTTAAAAAATTATGAAAGGAAACGTTTTTATTTAACTTTTGTTTAAAGCTGCAGTCCGGCATTTTTCCTCTTTGTCGCCATCTCTGTTTGAAATCTGTAATTGCAGTTATTCGCGGAATTATTAACTTTGCGTGAGTTGCACATCGGCATGAAACAGCGCGGATGAACACAATGTTTTGAGACTGCGAGTCTGTCAGTCACCGCGCCGATGTGGAAACTGGCATTCAGAATCACACATTCTACTTTTGGAAGTAGGCCTACAGTATCATATGACCATGACAACATACGAATTTTCATCGGAAAATGTCATCTGAACAAGTAAGTAACATCCACATCAACTAAGGGGGGAAAGCCTTGCAGTAAATTGTGCTGATTAAATATAACGATCGCGTCAAACCTTTCAAATTATACTTTGTTCTCAAATTATCAACATCAGCATTGTGACTACATTTAATGTGTATTATGATTACCCTGTAGTTCAGTTTCTATTTCTGTGCAGTCTAATTTCTAATTGTCATACCAATAAATTAATGTTTCTTTACTGGTTTTCTTTGAGAAAAAAAAAAACAAAACAAAAAAACACGTATCTGTAATCCGATGCATATTTAAAACTATATATAAATTCGTAGGAGGCCGGTTTGGTTTGCTTGGAGTAGAGGTGAATTGCTCCCTCTCATAGCTAGCACAAAATATTTACCATAATAGCTAAACGAATAAAGACAGGAAACTCCGTAACTGTGTGAATTAAGCGAACAAGTGTGCTACTGTTACACGATTGAACTATTGAAATGTCTTACCTGTCCTAAAAGAAAAAAAGCCGTCTCTGCGTCCGTTTTGAACCGATGTTTATCCTTGTTTTCGCGTGGGCCAGTTGCAGTCTCTTTTTTCTCTACCCACTCCGAAGTCCGAATTATTTGGGGTTTTACAAGTGGTGAATGTCCAGTTGTCACTGGTGATTGTCTTTTGAACCTTTCTGGATCCGCCATAAGTTTAATTATTTAATGCTGTGAGAAAAGGCTAAAAATGTCCACCTCCAACATCCTCACGCAATATAGCCGACCGGGACGCCTTCTTTATGTGTACAGATGTGACGTAATGACGCAAAGACATGCTCGAATTTCCCGCGGAAATCCACCAGTACCACTGGAATTAAAATCATTATTACAAGCTAACCGTTTTGAATCGGGCAAAAGCAAGCAGATATTTTTGAACACTGGCTGGTTATGTTTTTTTTTATTATTATTATTTTGGATAATTTTTAACCCAAAAAAGCTACGGACAGCAGCTTTAACATTTTACATTATTTTATTATCAACCGCTCACCCTCCGACTTTATTAGCGTCATCCAGCTATGTTATTCCTCGAACAACCGCTGAAAACAGCTATGGCTCATCCAGGTTACTGAAGTCAGCAGCGCAACGGGTTTTCTTCGTGGAAGTTTTGCTTTTTTGTGAGCTAATAAACTATTAAAACTCAGTCAAATCAATTTTTTGTGTAGTTATTTAATTATGTCATCCATCCAGTGTTGTGGACTCACTCTCTTCATACAAACGCAGCTGCTGCCGTTTTGTGACTGTTTTGTACACTGTTGGATATAAAACAACAAACAGGTACGATATTTAAATTTTTTTTTATCTCAAATCAATATCTCTTATCCCCATAATTATTTATGTGGCGAAATGCTGTGGTCCTATATGACTGTACCGGATCCCTTAAATGTCCGTCTAGTCGGACTTGCTGCGCTAGCAAGCAAGTTGGTTAAAGCGCTAATAAAATATTTCGACTCAGATCAATATTTCGTGTCTAATTATTTACTTAGGCTATATGTGGCAAGTAGCCGAGTAATAGGTGGGACCTGATTACCCTGTCGGGGGTTTATTATCTGAGATAACAAAGCTGGATACATATGTAGCCGTTAGGCTACTAATCAGTATTTTGGCTAATTTATATGACGAAGATATTGGAGTGTTATTTAACATTTGATTATTCTGTACCTGAATACTGCTATACCTTCCTGAACATCTTAAAGCTGTGTTTATTTCATTTGTTTAATCTTTGTTCTTTTAAATTTGTTTTGGCCATTGCTTGTAAGTTTATTTGTTCTTATTTTATTTAAATTTCACTGGTAGGCCTATCTAAAATTTGGTAGCTTATTTATTTTAATAAAAGGTTACATGGGTCAAAACAACAATGGGTGGGGTGTAATGAGTGTGGGGCGCCAACACTGATCTTGCAAACCCCCACCCCAGCAAATGTGCAGTTGCGCCCCTGCGCCTTGCCTTATTGACCCCGTCGCGTCATACTGGTGAGAGATTCTAACTCTAGGAGTCCAAAGTAACCAACAACTGTGCTATTCACATAATCAGAAAGACTTCGCCTACAGAGGATGGAGAGAAGACGTCTTCAGAAGTCCCAGTCATGTCAGGAACATTAACACGTTTCAAATGCTGACTCTCAGTGAAAGATAAGTGCTCGTTCTAACCGTAGCCTATGCTAAGTGTATTTAGGTTATAGGCTACAACTCCTTTATAAGGGAACTTTACTTCCGAGCACCGGCGAAATGAAGACGGACGGCGCTTGTTGTCGGTTAGTTGGTCCACTACAAAAACATGTTTATTTGATCCTTTCTTTACCGATCTTTTGCACAGCCTTTACATTTTTCGTGGATGTGTTTACGTTACACATTACGCCTTGCAGTGAGAATATAGAGAAATCTTTGAACCACAGAGTGGACATTAATATTTCCAACATCACAGCAAGTCGGACGGAGAATCACAGCGACCTCACGAGTGTGAGTAATTAAGATTGCACAATATCCTATTTAAAGCGCAGCACGAGTTATAGGCTACTGTATCTGTTTTGCCACAGGATGTCACGTGTCACGAAGATAATAATTTTTCTCATGGGAGAGCGACATACATGACGGGTTTACTTATCGGCTCTTTATTTGGTGGTGCTGTATCTGACAGGTTGGTATTCGCCCCTTTCTGTCAGACGCTGTTGCGACTGAAGCCGAGTTAATAACAGAAATTGTATTTTCTCCCTCCAATCAGGTATGGAAAGAAATTACTACTCATTTGCTGCTCAGCGGTCCATGCAGTCGCTACTCTGATAGTGGCATTTCTGCCGTATGTACCCGTGTACCTGACTGTCCGCGGCATCAGTGGAGCAGCCTGTTGTGCCATTCACATCTGCACCTTCAGTTTAGGTACAGCAACGCTTGTGTCTTCTTATTCTATATTAACACTGGAAAACAAATAGACCATTTAAAATAAACTAGAATAACGGTGGTCAGTCTTGGAGAACTACTTTTCTACAATGTAAAAAAAAAAAAACATGATCAATAAGTTATGACAACATATGTTTTAACATTGCTTTAACTCATCAAAATAAGTTAAGCAATTTTCAACCTTTATTGTACAAGATTCAACTCATTTTTAAGTCAGTTTAATGTAAGTTTAAATGACTTAAACATCCAAGTTGAGTGTAGCCTATCACATTTTAAAGGCAGCAACTTATTTTAATTTTTGTTTTTACAGTGAACTGCATTGGATGTTACCAAACTTTATATAGCTTATAGGGTATATCAAAAACATTGATTGAGTACAGACTATAACTTGACACTAATGAATTTATGAGGCCATATCTGGTTTCTCAGGGGTTGAATGGAGCCTGCCCAAGTATCGCATCTGGCCTCCCACCGTGTTTTCTTTCATCTTCAGTCTGGGAATGATGGGATTGGCTGGCATAGCTTTCTTGACAAGTGACTGGATGCAGTTTTATCTGGCACTGGGCATCCCTCAGATCCTCTTTCTGCCTCTTTATTTGTTAGTAGAATAAACACAAATTTTTCAATGCATGTTAAAAGTGTGTTGCATTATTAATTAATTTATTTATTTATTTTTGCAATTATTAGCTTTCTTCCAGAATCTCCTCAGTGGCTGCTTCTTAATAAGAGGATGAAAACACTAGAGGGCTATCAGAATAGAAGTCCTGAGGACAAGCACTACTTGGATCTTGTAAGACGCAAAGTCGTACTCTAGAATTGCTCAAATATTTGTGGAAAGTGTATGCAACATGAAAACATAAATTGTACATTCCTTTCATTGACAGCTTTTGGAGTCTGTGGACATTGAGAAGCAGAAGTCACTCACAGAGAAGACCGAAGACCAAAAAACAGAGTCTAATTTCACCAACTTTACATCACATACTATACTGTTGCGCCTGTTTATCATGAGTTACATTGGGTATGGAAGTTTAACTCTGGTAATGCAATTTCAGTTATCGGTTTCATTTTCACTTTTTGAAAGTACGTTACTGTATTTTAAAAGTAGCATGTGTGTTTTTCATAGATTTTTAAGTATGTGGTACAGAGGGAGGTGACCTTGCACTTTGAGGAATGTCTTACTGGAGTTGCTTTTTAAAGCTCAAATAGTTTTCTTGAATGATGTAACGTTAAGGGGCTATTACCAACAAACCCCACTGCCAAGTGTGACTAAAATATTATATGATCAATAATTTATGACAACATATGTTTTTACATTGCATTAACTCATCAAAATAAGTTAGGCCATTTTCAACTTTTTTTAATAAGTTATACAAGATTCAACTAATTTTTTAAGTCAGTTTAATGTAATTTTAAGTTTAAATGACTTAAACATTCAAGTTGAGTGTACTTTAAAATTTAAGGCAGCAACTTGTTTTTAGAGTGAACTACCACTTAGCCTCGGATGTTTTCAAACTTTAAATAGCCTATAGGCTATATCAAAATTGTACAACATAGATTTAGTACAGACTTAAAGGTTGTATCAGCGATTTCAGGCCCAAAAATAAATGATCACATTCATCTAATTTTTCCTAACGATCCGCTAGCTGCCCGCCCCATAAGCAGGCTGTCAAAAAAACGCGTCTCTGTAGGCAGCCTAGGCTCTGAGATCTGCACACAACAACATTGGGGTACAACCACCACTCAAAACCAAAATAAACAGTGTTCCAACCAATCACCGACAGGGGCGGGTGTTGTATGGTTTTGCGGTTGGGTTGGCACGGCTGGACGCGAAGTCAAAGCAAAACCCGCCCCTGTCGGTGATTGGTTAGGGATGCACGATGATATCGGGACAACATCGGTATCGGCCGATAAAAGCTTAAAATGACCATCATCGGCATCGGCCGATATGAATATTTCTGCCGATGAGTCTTGCCGATAGGTCGGGGGGTTTCCTATGCGCACGTGACGACCGTGAGAAGCATGAGCGCCAGCAACTTAAACTTCCAACTAGGGGTGTGCGTCTCACGGTTTTTGATCGTGGACGATTAAAATGTCTCCACGATCTGCTTTTGAAGAAAAATCATAGTATCGTGCATTCTATCAGTTCAATTCTGGCGCCTTCATCTCAACATACTGTACAACGCGACGTCCATTCACATCACATCACATGTAAACGCAGAGGTAGAGTTACACTCACGGGACACTGCAATTCACAAAAGTTCATTGTTTGCATGTGCGTCAAAGTCTTGCTAGGTAAACATGTCATTCACGTGCTGATGCGCTGTTCTAACATCCGCTTTTCTGAGCGCGTACACCCGGCGCTCACAGGAACTAAAAGCCTGTCACAGCGCCTAAATACTGGACTAATCTTTCGAGTCTTATTGCGCTGATACTGTCAAATACACACAAGGTTTACATAAACAAAGTTGGTTATGTCTAAAGTGAAAGCAAACAGAGAAAATCTGCTTGTCAAATGCGTGTATATTAGACGCGTCGCGTTACTCGCGTGCAGTTCTTAAGGAGACAGTAATAATATTCTGCCGCTTGTCTTTAAAGAGATACTGCACCCAGAAATAAAAATTCTGTCTATCTAATGTTGTTTCAAACCTGGATTCATTTCTTTCTTGTGCTTAAATATACTATGGAAGTCACTGGAGTACAGCAACTGTTTGGTTAGCCACATTCTTCCAAATAACTTTTATAATTTCAACAGAAGAAAGAAACTTGAGAGAGTAAATGATGACAATTAAAATTTTTGGGAGAACTATCCCGTTAATGTTAATAAAACAACAAAACACAGAGGAAATCACTCACTACTCTTGACTGAGAACATTAATAGAAGCTTTAATAAGCTTTTTTTGCACTTAAAAAAAAAATACAAATATATCGGTATCGGCATCGGGCAAAATTAGTTTGAAAATATCGGCATATCGAATATCGGCCAAAATCCTATATCGTGCATCCCTAGTTGGAACACTGTTTATTTTGGTTTTGAGTGGTGGTTGTACCCCAATCGGCGTTCGTAGATCGACTGGTAGAGACTGTTTTTCAAAGATGGCTTCTGCCTGTATAAGTGAAGTTGACTGTATGTATAAAATATCTTCTTATAAAACTGTCTGGACACTGACAAAGTTCTCAATGCTTCGGTTTGAAGGTAGGGACCCTCATTATGCTACCTTGTTAGTGTGGGGCTATTTTGAGCCTTGTTAGTGGTATTAACAAGCGATTTTTATTTGTCATTGATCTATGCCCAATATACTAGCGTTATACTAGCTTTATAGGCTAAACTGTTTTTAGAGATAAAACTATTGACATTCGATAATCATGAAAACAAATCTCAGATAACGGTTGACTAGGTAACAATGTATAATTAGACCAAAGGTTCAATTTGTGCCGGAGTTCTCCTTTAACACAATTAAGTTGACATGACTTAAACATCCAAGTTGATTGTACTTAAAAATTTAAAGCAGCAACTTTCAGTGTTGGAAACATTTCTAATCATTTATTTTCTCTGTAACTACTGGCAATATCTGATGATCACATCCATAAATATTTCTATTATCCACACAGTCCTTTCACACACAGTTTTCATGTTTTTTTCTTCAGTTTTGCATCTGCTCTCACTTATTATGGGATCTGCTTCAGTGTGGGAAGTTTTGGTGTAAATATCTATCTGGCGCAGTTTTTCTCTGGACTATCAGAGGCTCCCTCTTTGCTGCTTCCATTTCTGTTGAAGCGATGGGGCCGTAGGCCGTTCAGCATGGGCTCGCTGTTCCTTAGTGGCATTTCCTGTATGCTGTCCCTCCTCGTTTCCAAGTTCTGCGGTGAGGGACACTGTCTATACAAAATACATTCATCATATGATCATAATCTGAGATTGCTTAGTGTAGATGATATATGTGTAAGTTCATTAGAAGAATATAACTCTTACAACTATTATTTGCAATATTCTCTCTTTCTCAACAGACATGCCTGCTCTTGTTATGAGCCTGGCGCTGATGGGCAAGCTGTGTATGCAGTCTACCACATGTGTCTCTCTGCTCTATGGGATTGAGCTGTTCCCGACTGTAATAAGGTACACAATACCCAGACAGGCCTACCTGATAAAACGCATTATTGATAATTAGATAACTTGTCTCTAAGTTCAAAACACACCTTGGAGTCTACCGTGGTAATGTTCAGATCTCTCAATCATTAAATGTGCAAGGACAAACTTCTTTGTAAAGTGTGGACTTAAATGAAAATTTAGACCCTTTGCAAAAAGTATCTACATTACAGCTCCTCACTTTTCAAAAAAACATTTTAAAATGTAAGTCACGTTGTGGTGCCAAAAACAACACGCACGAACCAGGAAATTCTATTTAAATGGTCTTTAATAACAAATCTAAAAATGCATAGGAGATTGCATGAGATTTACTGGATAATATTACACAACTGAAATAGTGTTAATTTTGTCAGCTATTTTTAAATTTAGTCTTAGTCCTGTGTCAAACGTACTTTTATCTTATTTAGTCAACCTTGTCGTGTTTTTCTTTAGTCAATTTTAGTCGACTAAGGAAACCAACAACATTAACAAGGCTAAACGGTAAGGAAAGACAAGAAATGCAGACACATGAAAAAAAGACAGTGAAACCAAACATTATCCTGACAGTCTGAGTATTTGCTGATCTATAAGAGTATTCAGTATTAATCAAAAGAACATCTGTGGCATTTCCTGCACTGTTAGAGAGATATTGGATTGTTGATCCACAGTGCGAGACGCAGACAATCAGAGTAAAATATGCTGATTCATGGTAGACATTATAAAACACTTTTTTCATCAGTTACATAATATTGTGTGTAAAGTGGCAGTGGAGTGTATGTAAGCAAACTCTACAGAACTAGACAGTAGATAAAAATGTTCACACACTTAATCTGAAATGTTCAGATAAGAAGTTGTTGCACACCATGTTGCACAAGATCTGCTGTAATGAGTGAGAAGGAAATGATTGATTGAGTTTATAAAACACTGTGTTACAGAGTTTAACTGAATTTGATTAGTTAATAATTACACTCTTAAAAATAAAGGTTCCAAAAGGAACAGCAATGTCAGAGCAGTGATGCCATATACAGGTAGGAGAACCATTTTTGGGTTCCTTAAAAAAGTTAGTTTTTTTCTTATTGCGAAGAACATTTTAATAATCTAAAGGACTTATCTATTATCTATAATAATCTAGAGGTTTATAGGCCATTAATGATGTTTTAAATGGAATGTAAAAAAAGATTGTTTTCTAACAGGTTTTTGAAACCTGTCATTGGTCAGCCATGGCTTACTTATTCTGTCACAAAAAAATAAGTAACTACACTAACACTGAAAGTTATTTTTTTATATATATATATGATATTGATTAACACACTCAGTTTTCTCTAAATCTGAGAATAGTTGAGCTAATCCCATTTATCACACAACAAAACAGGAACATTTTTATGTGTTCATTTAAAAACACGTTTCAAACAACGTGTTTCAAAGTGCAAGTTTTTGAAAATGATAGCGTTATCGTCTCCATGTAAACTACAAAAACGTGAATTTGTGAAAACGGTGACGTTATGTGCATGCATATTACCTGTTCAAGTCTATAGGCATGTAGTGTTTCTTTACAAAGTGACATCGCCAACTACTGGCCTGGCCTGCATAATACAACGTTTTTAGTTGTTTTCACGGATTGGTGTGAACGGGGATCGTTTTGACAATGTTGTCATCTGTACGCGAAAAACACAAAGGAAAAATGTTTCTATTTTTATTACATCGTAGTCGTGTAAACGTCCCTGAGGCTACATTACATTTACATCTACATTAATCCGGATACATTTGGAAACGGCGTTTTCGTTTCAAAACTTTCTCCTTCCACACTAATGTTTTCCTGAAACGTCGGAAAGCGCTTAATTCACCTTACTGCGCATGCGTAAACCCTCATAAAAGCTCACTGAGATGATACTGACGGAACAAGACAATAAAGGGGGAGTTTTCAATTTGGTTCAAAAATACAATATTGGACAGGTATTCTTCAAAACATACTTACTTTTCCAACTCTTATACTAAACAGTCTATACTAAAATAGTCTTATACTAAACAGATTGGCCTGTCAGATATCTGGAGGTCAAGATTTCCAACCAGTAAAGTGTTCTCTTTCTTTTCACATGTTCACCCTTCATACTCGCGGATCGATTTTTTATCTTTTGGACGATAAAATGATGCGCTCTGTTAATTCCTGCAACTATCATAGTATAGTCATCTCCGATCATGACCCCACCTCTTTGGATTTAAGGTTTCCACAAGCCAGAACTTGTTTTTCTAAACAATGGATATAAACAATGGATATAAACAATGGATATTTAGTTCACATTTAAAAAAAAAAAAGGTTTCTGTTTTTAGTTCAAAACGGCGTTGTGTAAACAACCCCTTAGTGTGGACAAAGCCTAAAAGAAATTTCAGTCGGAACTCAAAATGTGTATTTATAGTGTTTTGCCTTTGGGGGACAGTGTAGCGGTTGCAAATAATTTATTTTCAACAAAGTACATTACTGTTCATGAAATGCACATTGAATTGAAGTCTCTTCCTCACTAACAAAGTGTTTTACTCTATGCAGGCAGAAGTGTATCGGCCTGGTTAGTCTTTGTTACCGAGCGGCCTGCATTATAAATGCGGTGTTGACCCCTGAGGGCGAGATCCCTCTGCCAGCTATGATCTGTTACAGCGGTGGGCCGATCATTGGTGCAGTCCTGTGCCTGTTTCTCCCAGAGACCAGTGGCATCCCTTTACCAGACACAGTACAGGACTGTGAGAAACAGCCCAGACTGAAGCTCTCATGCTCTGCACGGTGAGATGCATGAAAAAATTATCATTTTATTTAAAAAATATAAAAATTATAATATGACTTATTATATCTTTTAAAAATCAAAAATACAAGACAAAAAGATGACAATCATTGAACAAAGAAGTAATTTCTGCAAACTGTCTTTGCCTTTAACGTATTACATATATCATTTAAATATATATTCAAATTAAATTTAGCATTATTGGTCAGTGTCTGTATGTTGTCATTGTATACTTAACCAGCCATATAGAAAGCCAATAAAGAGCTAAGTATATATGATACGGCCCTGAAGTTCTGGTAGCTGAAAAGCTTCTGTTTCATAAGCTGCTGCTGATCAGGTTATAAAAACATGAACATGTACGGAATATTTTGAATTCCAGAGAGGTGAATGGGACAGTATGTCAGAATTGTGTTGAAAACAAGTGTGCGGAACAGCATCAATGTTAATCTTAACAGTAAATGTCATGCCATGATAGCTTTTTATTATCAGAATGCTATCTATATAATTCTATATAACCAAAAGATAGCAACCTGTTTAAAGGGATAGTTCACTTTGAAATGAATTTTTGATATGTTTTAGCTTACCTCAAGGGCATCCAAGATGTAGGTGTCTTTGTTTTCACAGTAGTTTCAATTTTGATATTTTTAGGTCAAACCGTTCTTGTCTGTCAGTCATATAATGCAGGTCTATGGTCACCACCTCAAAGAGCATGCACAGAGAAGTCCAAATTAAACATGATTTAATGACTTGTAAATGTAAGTACACATTGATGGCCTAAGACATGAAACGAGCGGTTTGTGTGAGAAAACGAACAGTATTTATATCGTTTTTACCTCTTGTAACGCACAGACCGAAGCGCCCGCGCCCTCAGATCACTTGGACGTGGCTGTGGTTACAAGAGGTAAAAACGATATAAATGCTGTTCGTTTTCTCACACAAACCGCTCGTTTCGTGTCTTAGGCCACCAATGTGTACTTACATTTACGAGTCATTAAATCATGTTTAATTTGGACTTCTCTGTGCATGCTCTTTGAGGTGGTGACCATAGACCTGCATTATATGACTGACAGACAAGAACGGTTTGACCTAAAAATATCAAAATTGAAACTACAGCGGAAACAAAGACACCTACATCTTGGATGCCCTTGAGGTAAGCTAAAACATATCAAAAATTTATTTCAAAGTGAACTATCCCTTTAAAGATATAAGGGGAGAAAATGCTGGTGAGCTGCAGCCAAATAGTCAATATTTTAATAAGAATAATAAATACAAATCATTATGAATTAATAAAATATGTTTATTATTTTTTTTTAATGTCAGTTTGCCCATGAAGCATAAACAGGAGTCCGATGCTTCTTTTGCCAAGGAGACGGACATGAAGAACCAAACGGAATGCAGTCTCCTCTCAGCATAGTCAGCAAGTGGACACTGTTTCCTGTCATAGCAGAAAGTGACTTCATATTATTTTAATGCCTTTTTTTAAAATCAATTTAGTAAAATGTGAGTGTCTATGCTCAGGATGTCAGCATTTTAAAAGGGTATTTTAAAGGAATTCTACTATGTAATGGTTTTTTGAGATGCTTCAATAATGAACTTTACTTCTGGATGATGATCCTGGAACATCTGCCAAAACGCATGTTATAATGGAATCATTCGATGCTGCTATTGATACATCCACAATTTGTCTTTATAGAACTCCACACACGTTTTTATACATTTTCTCCTTTGAGTGTATAGCCTTTGTTTTGTAAAAGCTTTATTGACAAATTTACAGAATTGATTTCTCTTATATTTTGCTCTTGGATCTTGGAAGATCTTGCTCTTGGAAAAGTAAAATGTTTACCTTCACCTTGGGGGCAAAGTCTGTAATTCTTAAACAAGTCTTGCAATGAAATACAGTTGGTTAAATCATTGTTTTGAACAGCTTGCATATATATACCATGCAACAATAATACTACAGTAATGGCCATGTTTGTGTGTGGAGAGTCTTCAACTCCAGATATAATGTGCACATTTCTGTTTTTATAAATTATGGTTCTGTGAACATCCATGGAAACATCGATTGCACAAAAGGTTCTTTAGATTATTAAAATGATCCTCACAAACTTTTGGGGAACCCAAAATGGCTTTTCCATGGTATTGCTGTCAAAAACTTGATTTTTAAGAGTGTGTGTGACGATCATTGGTACTGCAATGTAATATACATGTTTGATTTCTCCTCAAGAATAAAGGCCACTGCTCATGCATGCTGGCTATGGAAAGTAACATTTTATTTTCTTGATATTTTGTTTGCTGAAGTGGAATAGAATCATTGCTAGAACTGAATTATTATGTGTCTTGAACTTTCTACTATTTGTCCTTTAAAAAGAAAAATCTTCCAACCCAGCTGCTTCTTAAATGAGTCACCAGTATTACATTTGTGATTTTTGGATGTCTTTACAGTTTCTTTATGAAAGTTTAACAAAGTGATTACATATTAAGATCCCAGTACAGCATGATACATTAACCTCACCCAAGGGTCCAAACACATTCAATCAGCTAAAGTCTTTCAACAGAAACAACTAATAACCAGTAATGTTATTAATATTTTTCACTACATATACATATGTGTAAATACTCTGATCTATGTATACCTCGGAGGCAAAATGACATATAGGTATTTTATGTAACTGAACATTCCGCTTCAATTGTTTTTCTTTCCAGTTGTAAAATAATTTTCATGTTGCTGTTACACAACATAATTTGCTTATTTATTGAGAATTTTAACAGCAGTGCACAGAAGGTGCTTCCCATTTGATTGCTTTACTCAGGATAAGATGCTTAGCTTGTATGACTCCTTGTGGGCGAGTGTTACCACCATTCATTATGAGCAATATCATTTATGTAATATATTCTAACTTAATTTCTCTTATTTTATTAAGATAAATGAATTATAAGTTTTACACCAGCACCACAGACAAATTAATATAAGTTAAAAAATGTAGGAAATTATCTTTATTAGAACTGATAACATTTATAGACATTTAAAACCAATAGGAAAACAATCATTCATGATTAATTAACATTTGTGCAAAGAGCAATAAATTAAATTATAGCACAGAAAGCAATCCCTCAAACACTTCCTTAAAAAACAAACATTTTCAAAGTAACAGATCAAGTCAGATGTGAAGTTTAAAAGTTTACAGTTCATAACACTTTAAATAAGGCATCTCTATAGGTTTCATAACCATTTTAAAGCTTATCGTTTGTAGTAACATTTGTTTGCAACAACTGTTCACTTTTGTTATCAGAGAAAAAAATGGCACGACATGCAGTTGTGTTTTTGCCGATGGCAAACCATTGTGCTATCATGTTTCAAATACCTGGAGCAACTCCACTTAAAATAAAACAGCATAATTGTATTCCAATGCAATCTTAGACTATAACATGATTAAAAATATAAATCTAAAAAAAAGGAACGTTTTACTAGTCAACCCACATACCATTAATCAAACGGAACAAAAAAATGGGGGAAGAAATTAAATAATAATTCACCTATGGCAGGAACATTAAAAAACACCCGTTATCCTTCATACAACCCGTGAGAGGAACACTGACATCTAGAGCTCCTAAAAATATACACAACCTTCATAAACTTCATTTCAAACTGTGCAAAAGAAAAGGCCCCGCCAATGCCAGACATCATTTGTCATCCATTTGAGCTTTACTTGGGCATCTGAAGTACTTCAGCTATAGGACACAAAATTGGCAGGGAAGATCCCAACCTTCCCTCGTAGTTCTCCCTCCCACCAGTCGTACTGGGACTCCGTTTTGGTGATAACAGTGATGCGGTCTCCGGCAGCAAAGCTCAGATCCCCGGGCTGCTGGCCGCTGAACGGATGCACAGCTGTGACCACTAGAGCGCCGCCTGATGCTTGACCTAGAACACAAACAGAGGAATCCTCATCGTCTGCTTAATTGCAGGATTTGAAATACGAATCAATTACAAATCAGTGTAAAAGCCAATTTATTAAATGTAATAATATAAAACATGATTCTCAAACTAATTCCTCGTTATTAAAGACATTAAACATTTAGTAAAACATATTCATGAACAAATACAGATATAAATCCTAATTTAATTTTTTTTTGTTTTTTTGTTTTGTTATTGTAGCATTTTTAAATTGTAATTCTAATTACAGCCATCAGCATGAAGGCTACTTAAAGCATAATATATTATTCCCAAATGATTAAAAACAATAAAATATTTAGTAAAACATATTCATGAACTGATTAAAATGAAACTATTAATACATACATACATTTAAAAGTTCTACTTTTGTATTAACATGTTTGTGTTCTCAAATTTTGATTATATGTAAACTTTATATTTTGTAATATTAACATTTGTAATTCTATGTTGAAATTATTTTGAATTTATTTAAAATTGATCCTGAATGGTATTCCAGCACTGCTTTGGAACAATATGTATTATGACTAGGGCTATTGAATTAAACTGTATGGTGCATTTAATGTGCTTTTCCTTATTTGTAAGTCAGCTTGATAAATTATTAAATGTAAATGTATAAATGTTGCACATGCAATTTACATTATAGGCAAGTTTTTAATATCATACATATTTACTCATGATTATGTTAATATAATGTCACCTTTAAGCATGTCACATGCTTAGAGTGACATGTATTAACATAATCATGAATTTGTATGATATTAAAAACTTGCCTATAATGTATGAAATTGTAATAGCAAACGGTCAACACTAGAGAGCAGCATGTGTTCCTATTAAAACAGTTTAGCGCACTTTGGTTCAGTTAATTGGCACACTCTCTCTCACACACACTTTAAACACCACAAAACTTTCCAACTCTAATAGATGGTGGTGTGCAACAGTATTAACATCTGCAGATAGTATCTGTCAGCCAGGGGCAAAACCCCTTTCTTTATCTGTCTATCAACATGTTAAGATATAAACAACTGCAATCATTTCTGCTGTCAGGTTAACAAACAGCAAGCGTGAACCTTCAATTACTGAAACTCTTGACTATGTGATTTAACACATCAAGCTGGAATAAATGAAAGATTTACAGTAATCGATGTTATTCTTTCGATACATACAATACATTTTTAACCAAATTGCGAAACACTTTAGCCTATACTCTTGATGTCTGGTTAAACAGTGTCCAAAAGATGACCTTTGATTAGTGACTTAGAAATTTTAGCAGAATCTTAAAGTTGGCATGAAATAAAAATTCACCCTATTTTATAAATGTATGTTAATGTTAACAATTCATTTGTGCATGTTTAATTTGTATAATTTATATACCTCATCATTTGTAATTAAAAAGTCATAATTCGATCTTCCAGGGAAATGAAGGACATATGCAAACCTCTACAATGGCCATCGTTCCCATAAACCCTGGCCTTTAAAAAAAAAGATTTTTTTTTTTACAAATCGTCTGCAAGCTTGCATTCAGATCTGCCTCCATCCGACTCCTGGAAGAGGTGGGATGTCTGAAACATGCTGTGGAACACAGTCCATACAATGAAAGTCAATCAATAGGGTCCAAAACAACAATGGACCCCAATGACTTTTATTCTATGGACAATTTATATATATATATTTCACAGAACAATACATTTTTTATTCTTTACGATAATCCGTTCCACTCTGATGTACAAAAAAAATATCTGTCGCTACATCCCTTACATCACAACTATGTTTCCTTTATTTGATGCCTTAACGATGTAAAGTATCTGAGTAAATGTAATTTATGTAAATGTAATGTACAAAGAAGCCAAAAAGATACTTGAGCATCAAAGATATTAGCAACTTTTACTCTCTACTTGACTACATTTTTGAATAAGTATATGTACACTACTACACTAATACATTTGTGATGAGTAATGCAATTACTCGTTACATTTCGCATGGCACCTAACTTTTTCTGCAGCAGTTTATTTCTGCTACAAAAGAGATGTATCTTAGGTGTTGATGACTAGTTGAGCCCACATTCAGTACAGTAAAATACTTAAGTACTGTTACTTAAAATCAGATAGTTTAAGACTTTTACTCGTCATATTGGAATTGGTGACTTGTGACTTTAAATTGTCATTTTCGCTTTCCCTTTAAGTGTCACCCCCCTTTTTTTGAATATACATGAAAATGCACATTTCGAACTTAAATGGTTGTAATTCAAGAATGCTTTGGAATATAGACGTAAGATTGGTCTTGTTTTAAAGAAGACATTTGGCAGATTTTTGTAGAAGTGAAATAAATTAAGAAAGTGAAACAGAAAAAATTTATAGAAGTTTGAGTTTATGAAAATGTACAATGTAAAAAATTTTATTATTCATATTTTATATAAAATATATATATTTTCAAAACCTGGGCGACTCTAAAACTGCAAAAAAATCAAAGCCAAAAATCTGAACAAGTTGTGTTTCAAATTTTAGGTTGATATCTCAAAAAATGAGCTTTCAGTAAGATTTTGTTTGGGCGCAGTACCAAACTTTTTCACTAGATGACAAGCAGACTCCATTACTGCCCATATAAGGGCGCCTCCATTTCCATATGTGTTTTGAGTGATATGAACCATTATTTCCACAATTTTCATACAATTTATGAAGTAGACATCCTATTCAGAAGTAATATGAGAAGTTTGGCAGATTTTGATATGATTTCAACCTCTAAGAAACATAAAAAGAACACGCATGTGCGTTTTAGCTTCCTGCCACATCATATAATTTTTTTCTTTATATAAAAAAAAAAAATCAGACCTTTTTTTAAAAAATAATTGAATGGATGCTATCTTTTGAACTCTTGGCATGAAAACAAACTGAGGTTTCTACCCTTCTTTCATGATTTTTCATGTTCATCACTATTTCAAAATAAAGGTCTAAGAGTATGAAAATATTATTGTTGCAAATTGATAAATTACGGCTCCTCTGTAATTTATTTTGAAAATCAATCACCAAATATGGAAACTAGAGATTGTAAGCTTTCAAATGATATATAGTTTGTCAAGATTAGTTTAGGTTTAGTATAGGATATTACTGTTTTAAAAATGTAAAGGATTTGGGCCCATCGGTGGGCCCGTGACACTTAAGGGGTTTAAGGTATCTGTACTTTTTCTCAAGTATGGTTTTCAGGTACTCTTTTTTGTTTAACACTTTTGAATTAACTAAACCTTCCTGCCTTATTTTTTATGTTCAAAACAAATTTTGAATCCCAGATTTCCAATGTGGTTTTAGACTCTTTTTCATTTGTGTCAATATAAGCAGATTGGCATCCAACATTAATCAAGTGCCACCGAAGAATGCGAACTGGAGTACGAACCCGGAGAATGGGGGAAAACTGGTGGCGAGGGGTTTTCAGGAGTGGAGACATAAGAGAGGAGCAGGGAATCAGACAGAGGTGGAATGTGGTTTCATACCGTTGGCACCTGCTCTGAAATCTCCTGACTCCAAATAAACCTCGGGCATAGCCAAAAGCTTCAGTCGAGCCGTTTTTCACACTAAACGCTTTTGACTTGTATCCTAAAATAACTGCATCCATTCGACATAATGTTCATTCCCACAACCACAAGTGCAAGACATGACAAGCAGGGAGTAAGACAGCAATACAATCCAGAGAGTTTCTTCAGATCTGGAAGGGCTGTGTATTTTGGCAGAGTGGTGACATTTGAGCTATGCGGTTTTCTACTTGCACACGCAATATCTGAAAAAGTGACAGCTCATGACAGGGAAGAGGGCCTGCCGTTTCTCCTCTTCGCTGCTAAATCTCAGATTGGAGCGTGGGCTAAGCCCCATCAGGGACAGGGTGACCAAATCCAATTGATGTAACCATAGATAATCGCTGGCACCTTATGGTGGAATGCACAAGAGCTAATTGACAACCTGGATTCACTTCTCATTCCAAAGGAAACGGGAAAGCAGGATTATTCAGAGAAACCCGTATAACAGCTGCTCAACGTGCCATTACACTCAACAAATCAAAACCTCATAAAACATTATCCCTTTATAGACAAAAGAGTCTTTAGAAATCAGGGTGGCTCTATAACCACCTTTTCCTAAGGCCAGGGATCCATCTAAATGACTGTATTATTTACAGCTTTAATGATCTGGAGGGCAAGGAGTGTTAATGAAACGGTGAGGAGTGAGAGTTTTCCCGGTCTCATTTTTCACAAATGATATCATGATAATTAGGGGGAGAGAAATGTCTGCCAGTAAAATAACAAGCAATGTCAACACACACCCAGAGACCTTTTTTCAGCTTGTAACAATACAGATAAGTATCTCTTTGACTCATCTTAAAGCGATGATAATCTCAAAGACTGTAGTCAGTTTTATCATATCATGATGAAGTCTTTCTAATAACACATCTGCAACTTCTATAAAAGTGGACAGAACACATATCAAATCAAAAGTCATTCCCTCCAAACCATTTCATTAAAAGTGTTTTCCCCAATGTTAAGTTTAATGGGATAGTTCACCCAAAAATGTCTTTTTAAACATTCCAAAAATTCTTTTACGGGAAGTAGCGTCCCACCATGTGGGAGACTCCCGGAAGAGTTGAGATGTCTGTGTGGAACGCAGTCCATGCAATGAAAGTCAATGGGGTCCAAAAGAACAATGGACCCCAATGACATTTATTCTATGGACAATTTTAATATACATATATATATATATATATATTTGGTGTTTCACAGAACAATAAAAATCACAACCAAATCTTTATGACTTTCTTTCTTCTGTGGAACACAAAGGAAGGTATGAGGCTGTGTAAATGATAATGATCCACTGAAAAGTGAAAACACTGAGCCTCTGAGGCAATTTCAAAAGTAAGCAACACCGGCTCAACCAATCGCAGAAGTCTACGGGAGGGGATATGTTTGTTTGACCAATAGTAGAGCGCAGGAGGATTTGGGAAACTTTAAAAACAATCACTATTTTTGAATTTCGTTTGGTGACTGTTCACTTTAACCGGCACAATTGATCCATAATAAAACGCTTTTTACGCTCTGCATTTGTATTGTTCTGTACGGTTTTGCTGTAGAAAAATAAAAGTTAGCAAAATAAACGGGAGACATCTGTTGTCCTGATTTTGATGAAGTCAAGTCGTGCTTTGACATACAACAGGTGTACCTGTCTACTTATCCTGAATTAAGCAATGACAACTGACTGTTGAAAGACACATCAAGTTGTTGGCTAACAGTATCTATTCCTTGTACAACTCATCTGGCTCGCTTATACATGATCCTCCTCTGGCCAAAGGATTGCTGTTGGCTGATGGTTTAGTGTCTTGTGCAGTTGACAATCGAAATCATAATTTAGGATGCCAGGTATGTGTTGATTTAGAATGACTGTTATCAACCAGTAGAATATTAACATGTAATTTAACAAAATCCAGTAATTAACCATCACAGCAGGAAATTGGACTCCTTTTCCCAGCTGAAGGAGATGCGAACAATGAAACCTTGTCTACAGCAGTCTCTAACTGTCTGGATCATGCTGAGGCACGTGCACATTTCAAACAATTACCTTCATTTACACATCTGAATCAACAGTTAAAAATAACCGAACAGATGCACCATAATAGCACCTAAATGAATTAAAGAGTAAATACAGGAAATGAGGGATGTCAGCTAATCATTCTCAGGCTGATGTATGCGTGAGAGAAGTGGAGATAATACTAAAATGCACATAATAATTTAGTTCTTTCAATCTAATTTTAGAACTTTTCAATGAGTCGACTTGCGTGCACTTCAACAAGGAATTATTGTCTGAATCAATGTGTAGGTGAATAAAGTATCACTCATTTATGTTATTAGAAGGGATGCAAATGTACAGCCAGCTTTTTTTTTTTTTAGTGGCAAAGCAGATATGTTTGACTGTTGGCATCCATGCGTTCAAGAACAACTTTACCTGGGACAACAAACCCCACGTCATTTATCTACGACCAGAATGCGTCTTTAGTTTATATTAGCCTTAGCACGCTTGATCGCCCTCTCTCATAACGTGATTCGCTCACACTGAATGAACTGCAGTTGCGCAAGTTAGGGACACCAGAAGCAAACACAACCTCTCGACATGCACTTCTCGAAGAGATGTGCAACGTTCTGATGGCACTCTTGTTTCTTCTGACCATAAAGGACTTAAAGAGGACAGAACAGTAACAATCACATTCAGGAACAAAAGCTGTTTTCCCTCCAGCTTGCTTATGCTCACAATGGACAGAAACACTAGTATATTTCAGTTCTAGCCCACAAAGAATCTGAATATTCAGCGCTACGACCAAAGATTTGATACTTTACCACAATATATGCTCTAGAAATCGGCTCAAAATATCAAACATGTTTGATATCCTCTGACTGGAAGAAATCAAAGTCTGAAGCTTAAAAAATAGAGTCTGTGCTCATCCTACACTACATGATTTTATGTGAAATCTGTCAACTCCCAATGCCCAAAATCTTTCGGCAACTAGTGTCTGACTTGGACAGACTGTAAATTAGAGCAAAAGTCACAGAGTATTCCAGCCTTTAGACTGTGTTTGTTTAAGATGGTTTTCTCTGGCCTGATCAACTGAAAAGTGTCCCTCTAAAATCAGCAAACACACCATGCTGACAAGGCTGGAAGACCAACTAAGATCACAAAACCAACTTAGGCTGGTTTAAGATGCCTTTTCAGAAGGGTTACGAGCAACTTATTTTAATCAATAGTTTAAAAAAACAAGTTACTGGTGCGTTGCATCTAGCTGTTTTCTTAAGACTGCAGCATTTGCTTCCTTTCAGTTGTCCTTTATGAGCAGAACACACTATAATCTCCCTTGAGTGTTGAGTGCTGTTGTTGGCTGTCCTGGACTTAAAATCACTGTGTAAATGTTAGCATTATAATGTTTTCATGATCAATCATTGCGGTCTTTTATACTTGTGTACTAAAGATTGGCACAAGTATTCGTCTGCAGTTTCGTTGGGAATAAAATGCACTGTTAGCAATAAAGTAGCCTTTAGGACTTGTGGTGATTTAGGACAGCATCTCCTCCAAGTTTGTCCTATTTAAAGGACAGGGAGGCTGCCAAATGTTTTGATGCTCGGGTCTGAATCCACCAGTCCTGAATCCACACACATTATCTATTAGCTAGTGGCCTTTAAAATATCTCCCCTCATGGATGAAAATGTCATCTCACTGTGGGAAAGAATGCGTTTGCTGCATAGCTGACTTGTGACATGGCAAAGAGCACCGAGGCCCTTCCTGAATAAAGGAAGATGGGAAAAATGGCCAGTCAACAGTTCATGGCTTCTTTCGAAATCTTCCCAGCCAGTCTGAGTGGTTTTCTTCGAAACAGGCCAGGCAAAGCCACTCCGTCGCGTTTTTTTATTCTAATCCCTATAATTCAACTTTAAACACGGGCCTTTAGGAACCTAATGAAAATAAATGAGAATGTTAGTGGCGTTGAATTGACGACAACACAAATCATCCTCCACAGGCTGAGCTGATTAATGAAAGGATCTCACACAGCACTGGGTGTTTCTTCTCGTGCATTTCGGCAATTTAATTAGCCGTTGCTAATCTAGTGGTTTTAATCCACTTTATAATTTATCAGTGTCGAATGAAATGCATGACCACATTGTCATCTTTATTCTCACAGGTATTTCTTGTTGTTTTAAAAAGTGTCTGATTAACCTCATCATACACGGAAGGAATAATCCCTTTTGTTCGGATATTCTGCTTGACAATATGCTTGAACAAGCAGGGTGGGCTACAAAACAGTCAAATCCTCTTCTGTCAGTTTATTACCATAGTCACAGGTGTGAAGTGATTTTTTTTAACAATAAGCATAATTTTACTTAAGTAGGGAAAAATGGTTATATTATCTGTGTGAGAAGCTTGTGTTAACAGAAATACACAAAACCTTTTGAATGATATTTTCTTAGGCACTAACATAGCCCTCAATGTTAATATAAATATAAAATAAAAGCACTCACCTGAGCTTTCATCATCCCAGCTGTCTAAGCTCGGATAAAGAACTGGCTTCACAAATGCAGGAGCTGTGAAAATATAGGTATAGTTATAAATATAGTTTTTAATCAACATAACCATAAAAGAGTCACCCAGAATCAGAGGCAAGGAGATGGCAACTTCGTTCTAATTTTACAACAACCCCAGAAAACATATGAAAAAAGTTTTTTAGACCTATGCGAGTTCAGTCAGTCACCATATTTCTACTCTGAAAGATGAAATGCGTGCGGATCTGAGGGGTCACTCGGGTCTTACCTTGAGTCCTGGGTGTGTAAGAGGAGGCAGCTCTCTGTGTGGGAGGCCTTGGTCTAGATGGTGCTGAACTCATCTGTGAAAACAGAGACACCCGAATATACATCAACAGGCTTGTCTCTCACCCATTGAACTTGATAAACAGAGACTGGCACAATCAGTATGCAAGGACAGTTCACACCTTAAATATTAATTGGATTAAAGTATACAAGCAACTGAATATTCACTGAATTTCTAATAGTGTAATACTATTGTGCCATTCACAGACCTATTGATTTTGATTCATTCCAACTTATAAAACTAATTACTATGACAGGGAATCAAATGGGTTGTTTAAACCTGATTTCATAAGACCACTGTTTTTTCCCCCACATAACCCCAGTGACCAAAATGAAGTGTCAAGTGGAAAGCCTATATAACTGTCATCTACAGGGTTTTATAGATGTCTGATTTATAGTAGCCATCAAATGAAGCTTACAACCACCTTCTAATGTGTTGAAAGACTTTGTAAGCAGATTATATTTCTCATGCTTTATGTAGGAGTAATTTCTTCATTTCTTCATTCCAAACTCACAGAACTACTGCATACTTGTGAAAATAAATTGTACTTTATTGTTTAAGGGGTTGAACTAGAGGGATTCCTGTGTGCATGACTCAAATGAACAAAATGAGTCAAAAAATGTGTTCATTTAAAAAAAAAAAAAAAAAAAAACCTTGAGTCAGTGGAAAATAGTGTGACTTTAAATCCCATCAAGTAAGAGAGATTAAAGTTACTTAACCCTTCAAATGAGTGATGTTGTCAGTCAAATTAATGTGATGTTTCAGCATGCAAAGACAAATCACACGGGCAATTTAAACAGAGCTAAAGAGTAGCTGAAGGGGTGAGGAATATTTATTTTGTTGCTAATCTGGGGCCTCATGTACAAAGACTTGCGTTGAATTCATACTAAAACATTGCGTACGGACAAAGCTGTAAATGTGCGTACGCACAAAAAAAAGCAGATGTATGAATCTCTGCGTACGAAGGATCCCACGCATATTCTCTTTGTACATCCCAATTAACGTAAAATTGAGTGCACATGCACGAGCACAACGCCCCACCCAGTCTCCTCCCCCAATAAAAAATAATTTTAATATGTTAATTAGTCCAATTTAGCAAAAGAAACCTGCAAGAACATGGCTAAAGCAAGAAACGAAATTGCACTGAAAATGTCTTCTATGTGAATATATAGTAAAGTGTAATTTATTCCTGTGATCAAAGCTGAATTTTCAGCATCATTTCTCCAGTCTTCAGTGTCACATGATCCTTCAGAAATCATTCTAATATGATGATTTGATGATCAAGAAACATTTTTGAGTATTATCAGTGTTGAAAACAGGTGTGCTTCTGCTTCATATTTTCGTGGAAACCGTGATATAGTATTTTCAGGATTCTTTAATGAATAAAAACTTAAATCAAACAGATATAGAAATCTTATAATCTTTTGTAACATTATAAATGCATTTACTCTCACTTTTAAACACATTCAATGTGTCCTTGCTGAATAAAAATATATTACTTTCTTTTTTTATCTTTACTGACAGAATTAATGAAGTTTATTTTTTATTCCTAGTTAAGCCAACGCTGCCATTGCTAGACGGGTTGTATCAATTTGGACATGCTTTATATATGTTCTTACTTAATTGCATAATATAATATTTTAATAAAACTCGTGTGACAATAATAAGTCAAATAATTTATCAATTACAAATTATAAGCAATATCTGACAGCTGGTGGTGCGATAGAACAATTCGTAGTGTAATGTTTGCCACTTCACTTTATTGCCTCTATGAGTCGCCAACAGACAAAAATCACGACAAATATACGTACGCCAGACATGAAGTTTACTTGGAGGAACGCACATTCTTACGTTAATTTCACTGTTAGTACATCTGGCCGTGAACGTGAAAGCTGACGTACGCCGTGTTTTTGTGCGTACGCAGTGTTGATACATGAGGCCCCTGGTGATACAAATGAGAAGTGTATCAATCCTGTAAGACTATTTCAACAGTGCTATTTCAATATTTTTTTCATTAAATCCCTAGCTATATTGCTGCACATAAGATTCTTAATAAAGAAAAAAAAAGAATTCAATATGTCAACAATTCCTCTAAATCTGATAAGAGATCTCTTTCAGCTCTACAGTCATTCTTGTGATTCATCTAGTCTGATTCACTCTAGTGAATCAGTTTGTTCAGACACAGTTCATGTAAATGATCAATTTAAATAATAACAAACTATTCACAACCAATTCACAGTTTCGAGTCCCTGTCCTGCATTTAACATATTTAGTTACAGTGAAATATTTAGTTAAATGCTACTTCATCACTAATTTTGTTGTTGTTGATGGTGTATTTGTTATTAATGCATCTGTTCAAGTTTGATGCTATCACCCTGATAGCCCTGCTTGTTCATCCATTCAAAACTCTCATCGAGTCAGAAAAGTACAGCTTTGATTAAACCAAAAATCATCAGAAATCTATATTTTACATTATTTTATATTTACATATATTACATATACATATAGTCTAGCTAACTACTTTTTCAAAAGAGCAGGAGGATTGTACTTAAACTACTTTCAAATTATGAGTAGCTTGAAGCTCGGCCAGCTTTAGTTTGGGGCCAACATGGTGCAGTAGTGCACAGAAAGTAACCTTGCTTGAAGCTTGCATGTGTTTGTTCTGCCAGTCGGTGGTGTACTTCTCTGTGTAGTCCTGCAAAATGGTGTACAAATCAAATGCTTCAGGTGGGGGTTCCACATCTCCATTGAGAATAGCAGAAGCACGAATGTCTTGGCCATAGAACCTATTCAAAAGTAAGGAACACATAAGATATTGAAACTACAGTATAACAATGAAAACACAAAGTAGGTCAAAATGTGAGGTAACATCAGAGCCTGAGGGCTTTATTTCAACATTTAAACTCTTTAACCTATGACATGTGCTTACTTTCGGTTGGTTTCTTTGCGCTCAATGAGGTAAGAACCGACGAGAGACACTCCAGCGTAAAGGCCACGAGATTTGCAGTACGAGTAGACAGCCGCTGTACTGCGAAACGCCACATCTGCCTCCAAATTCCTGTCAAATATGCTCAGTCAGACTTGTTTATATGCAAGGAATAAACACTACACAGTCAAGGATAATAGTGGAATCGAATGGGAGGATGAAACTACACTAAGAGTAATAATCACTGGGATTTGTTGAGAGTAATGCAGACTCAGGCATACGATCATGTCTTAATAGGGTCTGTTTTTCTTTTATACTTTACATGTTTTTATGTTTTTAAACTTAACCATTCAAAACTTTAGGGGCTAATGTGAGGATATTTTGACAATTTTGTGTGTATTTGTGCTTTCAAGCGCAAGAAGACGCATACAAGAACTCAGTTTGGACAGTCATTTATTAATGTTATAAGGTAGGGGTGGTTGATATACTGGTTGAAATTTGTCATAGTCTCTGTCGCTGTTACGAAAGCTTATTGTTTACATGCATTTTTTTTTTTTTTTTTTTACAAAACAGAACAAAACAAAACATGACCAGAGAGCAAGAACAACGTATCAACAGAGTATTAAGACAGAAGTAAATCAGTAGTATATGTATCCCACTTATTCCAAAGTCTTTCAAATTTGTCCAGTTGTAAATGTAGTCCGAATGTGATTTTTTCCATTTTCCTTATGTTCATAACAAGGTCTACCCATTCCTTGATTGTCGGAGCAGTTTGAGTCATCCATTTTTTTGTAATGGCCTTTTTCCCTGCAGCCAGGAGTATACTCCAGAGATATCCATTGGCTGTGTCCATGGCAGGAGTTTTAAGGCCCAGGTACATAGTTCTGAAATCCAGTAGGATGGGGACATCAAATACAATTTGCAGCGCTTTGTTGATTTCAAACCAGTATTTTTGAATCACCAAACAGTCCCAGAACACATGATAGTGATGCGCCTCCTGACAACCACACTTTCTCCAACACTCAGGACTTCCCTGTGCAAAATGAGCGCTTTGACAAGGTGTTATGAAGAAACGAGATAGACATTTCCAACAAAATTCTTTCCAAACATGTGATTTTGTGGTTCTCCCGTTTACATGCATTTTTAAGCATTGCGGTTTAAAAACAAGTGATTTTAAACCGTTGAAGCGCAATTCGCCTTTGGCTAAGCCCCGCCCCCCTTAGTTACTGTTGCTACGTCCGACAAACAAACTTCATCTGGGGCTCTGGTATCAACATGGCTTATGCTGTGACAGCTCTTCCTGCTGAAATTTTATCAAACTTTTATAAAGCAGCAAATAAAGTGTCCGATAGAAGTAGTCAAAAGGGGCTGCAATATACGTTCGAAGCCATACGTTCATGACATACAGGTGAAACGCAAGGAACAACAAGGCATCCAAATAGAGGCAAAAGCATACCGGTCACAGTCAAAAAATGAACCACCGCATATCCTACTAATCGAGACGGAGGCATAGGTCTCTATTCACTTCTATAATCGTTATTACGAAGCAAACGGACTACGCGAGTATAACGTTGTATTTATTAGCAGCGTGTGCTAGACGACACTTGTCAGGATTTGACTTCGGTTTTGGGAAGGGAAAAAAACGCACACCCCCCTCCAACCTCTCTGGGTAACGCGTATCTGTGTTACAAATGCCCCAGGCACAACCTTTAACCATATTTTTCATAAAATTACGATGGTAATAGTCTGCTGAGACCAAAAACATGAGACGCCTGTGTTAAAGGCAATGGAGCGCTGTGAAAAAGTGTCGGACCTCTGTGGGAGCGCGTTCTTGGCTGCGCTGTGATTGGTCAATCTACATTCTAGGGTGTGGCTTAGCCAAAGGCGAATTAGCAGCAAAAGAGGACTCATTTTAGAAAACATATGCACTGTCTGGTTTCTCAGCGCTGTCTGAGAGATGTGCGCACACAAAGCCGCTGTAAAGAGTATGCATTGTTTTTTTTTATACTTTTGATTATTTTATACATTTTATGTACTAGTGTGTTTATTCCTAGTGCGTAGGTCTATTTAATTTATCACTTATTTGTCTTCAGTAAGCTTGAGAGTTTTTTTAGGCTAGTATTAGTTTTTTAAATGATATTGAAAATGGTGATAAGAATTATGACATTTCAGTGGTATCAAAATGTTTTTATATCATAACCTTATTTAAAGCAAAAATAACTATATTGTGACATATATTGCTATCATGAAATAAATTACTCATATATCGTGATATAAGATGTTGGTCATATCGGCCAGTCCTACTATAAGGATTCGACATGAACATTTTTGGAATGGCTAAACTAGCTTTCAACAAACTAATCTTGCAGAACAAAGAGATGATTTTCAGCTCTGAAAAGTACAGTCATTTTTATTTAAAACGTTGTCTTTCTTATATGACCCCTTTAAAATATTTATAAAATATCTGTTTCATTGTTCACCAACTAAAGAGACCTTGATTTTGATGCAAACCTTGATTTTATTAAAAGAATGAGATGTGACATTTATATAAAATATATCCTAGTAGGTGGTAAGAAGGTTCTATTCCAAGAATAACTCATTTCAAAAGAGCACACCCTGCAGTCACTGCTGCCAAACTAAATCCAAACCTGATCTAATCCAAACCAAAAACAATCAAACACATCCACATTAAGTGGAATCTTCAGTCCTAGTTTTCAAAGCTACTGTAGTGCAGCAGGCAACCATTCAGTATAATATTTCTTGCAGCTTTATTCTGGCGAGATCCATAAACAACGATTAAAGCAACGAGAATAAAAAAGGACTTTCCAAACAAGCACAAACACAGCAGAATCCGTCAATAAAGGTAAAATCACTGATTCACCTTAGAACAATGCAGCTGTCATTTAAACTAGCACTATTGAATGGCTCTCAAAGTACAGCATGGACACCCTTCATTATCTATAATTCTCACAGTATTTTCCACACAGGCTCATGCTTGTCAAATTATGAATGACTGTGTTGCAGGTGAAAGCTTAAGCTGGCAGCTCACAACTGTATACATTTTTTTGTATAAACATGTCATTAGAGAAAATGAGTCCCTTGTGAAGTGATAAAGATATAGATAGCTTTTATATTCTGTTGATTTTATTTGTAATTTTCCGTAAGAGCAAGAGCTTTTCTTTCATTGCTATCCGTAAATGCACTAAATCAACAGTTCAAAAATATTACAGCTAATTTATACCTTCAGAGAAATGCTGTCAAAGCCTTCCATCGCCTATGTAAACACTTTAAAAACTTTCTCCAAGCAAACGGACTTCAACGCTCGATTTACAAACAAATGGAACACAATGCAGCTCACAAACGCTCAAGGACTGCACAACTCTTTTCTCATTCCTGTCCACATTGCTTTGGCAGCACTTTCATTAACATAAAAAAAACAATCATAATATCAATTTCCTTACATAAATCAAATCTTTCTTCCTTAAGCCATAACCTTTGATTTTTCAGATGCATCCTGATAAAAAATAAAACACTTTAGTAATAAAAGTCAAGTGTCATGTCAAATTACGACACCGATGCCTAACAGTGGACATTTGCCCATACCTTCACTCTGCGTTATTCTGACCCCTGGCAACAGAATGGGGTATTACACTGTAAAATCAACACACATACCTGCCAAGAGGCCCAACAGCCACAGTGCAGTTTCCTCCAAGTGTAAGATTCCCTCCTTTACTAAAAGCATCCACAGCTCTCCTCTGATTCAAGATGATGACAAAATCTGATGACTGGAGATGAAAAAAGAGGACATGTGTCATGTTTTATGTGAAGCATTAGATGGACGGTTTATCAAAAAAAGTATTTTTAATTTAATTTAATTTAATAAAAATGAGTATAAAAATGATGTCAATAAGAACTGTACCTACACTGAATGTGAATGGTGACCAAGGGATGTCATTTCAGAGAAATCTGTAATTTAATTTAAGTTCATTTAATTTTTCAGATTTTTTGTTTTAATTTTAAACGGCACATCTGTGGTGTATATATAGTAAAGCTATAATGAAAAAGCTACAGGTGGCATTTAATGATGCATTAAGAATTTAGCTTAAACTCCCAAGGTTGACAAGTGCAAGCCAAATGTTCGTATCTAGTGATGTTCCTACGTTGCACGCTGTGTTAAGGAATTATATGTCATTTCATGTGTCGATTGGGTGATTCGAGAAATACAATCATAATGGTCTTAAATTATCCTACATTAAGTGATACAAGGTATTTCTCCTGGTTCTGGAAGCACTGGAACTCAAGTTTGTGTGTTATTATTTTCTTTCTGTTTCTTTACTTTGTGATATGGACCTAAGGGTCTGGAATAAAGAATTATTGTATCTATATTTTATTTTAACTTTATGCATTCTGTATTTTAAACCAAAAAAAAAAAATACTGTGCCTTTACTTAAATATAAATAAAAACTAAATTACTGTCATTATAATCAAATAATTTAATCAATTTTGTAGTGTTTTCCGCTTGTAGAATAAATTTTTTTTTATAATTTAATGTAACATTTTCTGATTGTTTTATTTTTATATAATTATAACTTTAGACATTTAGAATTTTAAACCAAAAACTCAGTATAAGAATAAGTCAATAAGAATTTTACTTATACTGAAAGTTGACCATGGTGGATGTCATTTAATTTAATTTAATTTTTTTTATTTATTTTTTTATTTCTATTTTATTTTAACTTTATACATTATGAATTTAAAACCAAAAAAAAATTCAGATACTGTGTGCCTTTACCTGAATATATATAAAAACGAAATGACTGTCATTATAATCAAATAATTTAATCAACTCTGTGGTGATTTCTGCTTGTAGAATTTTTTAAATCGTGCCACAGATGTGCTATAGATATAGCAGAATCTAACAATATAGCAGAATCTCATACTACCAGCCCTAAAACACATTTCATTACTCAGTCAGAACTGCCTATTCTAATCTCACAACTGACATCACTCTTTTCATGATTTTCTCTCTCCCTTTATTCAAATCAGCTCAGGTTTCTTTAAGCGCCAGACCATGTGATGTTAGTTAGTAGTGTGTCCATCATGCACATGTGATGTTATACATCACTCTGACAAGCACTCCTTCTGTCACCAGCAAAACATTAAAAAGTTGCTCTATATTCAGCAATTGTTTTTAAGCTTTTTTTAATTTTAGTTGATGTCGAAAGATTTGGACGGGTTTCAGACATGCTCTGGTTTTAATGCCTAAAGATAAAATCGATATTTCCTGTACTCCCTTGCTACTTATCAGGTGTGTTGCTACATACTGAGAGACAGAGACCGCAGTGCTAACCACAGCGCCTGAAGGCTACTCCAGAAATTAATCAAAAGTGTCAAGATGCACAGGCGCTCGGTACACAAATGACTCATTCGAGCTGCAATCCAAGGTCAGGAAACAAAGTGCAGCTTCTGCCTGATGCTGACAAATGACCTCGCTGGGCACATGCACAGTGATTTCCTGTGCCAGAGATATGAGGATCCACTTTATGCTTTGAAAAATGATGAAGCCAGCACTTGAGCTAATAATAGCTCCTGACAAAAGGCTGACATCTGGTTTAGGGAAAAGGTCGTAATGAGTAATTCATAATGGGTCATGCTTTTACAGAACACATTGCAAGATTCAGGGAAAACTTACTGTTAATGTGACTTTAATGTGTACAAAAAGAAAACAATTATTTTGGGGGGCACCTGTTTATTATTAGTAAATGATAGTGAGACCATCCGTACATGTAATTTAATTATTAATCAAACTCAGGTGATATATTTGACGAAAGTAAAGTCATTTGCAAAACCTTTCTTTTTTTTTACAAGATTAAGTCCATAAAGTGTGGGGACAGTTGCTATGTTTTATCATTTATTTTTGTTGTTGCTAACGTTAATTATCACACAAAGGTCTATCAATTAGTTTTCTTTTAACTTAAGAAAATTAATTTGTTTTCTTCATAATTAAAACTAACCTATAAGATTATTCACAATTAAATATTCTAAATGATTGACAGATGATGGATGATGGGAAGAAAAAGAAATACAAAACAAGACAGCCAAGTCAGACAGGGCAAATATTTTAACGTCTTGATGTTCTTGTCTATGCATGACTCAGACATTCTCGATGGAAAGAAAACATGTTTTTTTGCATGACATTGAATGAGAAGTAATTTACAAATTATACCCTGATGAAGAATCTATAGTAGTGTCTGCATACAAAACCTAATCCATAGGCATACAGCATAGTATAGTCCAAGATGTTCATCTAATACATGAATAAACATGTTGCACAACTGTTCTTGCACACTTTACTGACTCTCTGATTCAGCACAAAATCTGTGAGACTGAAACTTTTCGTATCTACTACTAGGGTGCTTACCATGTTATAAGCTTTAGTCCTGTCAACACCTAACTTTAGATGTTTTTTGATGATCATTCATTTTCTATTGGTTTAAAAAAAAAAGAACAAAACTTAAAATCACAGATGTTCTACTAAAGAACCCAAGAGGAATTTTAAAGTAATAAAAAATTACCTTCTCACAGCTTTTTTGGTTATTTTTAGACAATTTGGCCAAAAACATTATTTGTACCTGAATTAAAGAAATTGGTTGTTCTTTTAGAGAGTCTGGTGTCAAATAAAAACGTACCTCCAGACCAATTTCAAATCCTCCACCGAGTCCAGCGATGCCTATTGCTGAAGGAGCAGACCATCCTTCATAACAGAACGCAGAAAACAATTACACAATTTAACATTAAAATGAAAACCAAAAAACTGAATTTGGGATATACTAGAACTTTTTAGATGTTTAAGTGTGTAGAAACAGATTAAATCTTGATACATGTCACTTTAACAAACAAAGTTGCCAGTATGGCCTTTCCTCAACTTTATTATTATTTTTTTATTAAAATATATAGTGCCCAAATGTGGGACCCTTTGTCCATTATAATCGCTATTACCAAAGTTTAAATAATGATTACTACAATCCTCAAAATAAAAATTCTGAACTTGTAATGTCTCTGAATAATGTAAAAATTCAATGCGTAAAAACAAGAAAAACACTTAAGTCAATGAAGCTCAAAATGTTTGTTTATTCAGTTTAGAATGTTGCTATAAGGCAGCTGCCAGACATCAATTACACCAAAACCCATTTCACAAATTGGTCTATTTTGTCGTAATAGTTGTGATTTAGAGTTTATCTGAACATGTACTCTAGTATGTCACAAACTATATAATCTCCTGACCTCCCCAAGCAAATATAGGCCTACGTGTAAATATATTTGACACTCAGAATAAATGTCAGAATGGACGTCAATAAAACCCACTTACTTCCATCAGCGAGTCTTGCGATCACTATCCCACTGCCGCCCCTCGCAGTGATCATGAAACCTGCTTTGAAGACTGACAAGATGGCCAGTCCCTGAGCCTTGGCAATGACATGAGCTGGTGTCAGGTTGTGGAAAAGATAGAAATAAATGAATAGGAGATATTATAATTGGACTTGTGCAGGCAAAACTGTTCTGAATCTAGACACAAGTACTGAAATGTAAAAATAGAATAAATGTGCAAATGCAAGATGAAACCGGTAGGCAGAGTTGATTGGTGCATTGTGTTTTTTCGCACAGGTTGCACAGATATGGAGAAGTCACTGAGTGAACTGCATTCATGTCACTTTCTGAAGACATGCATGAACAGATACTTGGCAATGGACCGGTAGAAAGACTGCTATAGTCTTGTACACAAATGACATATGTCAACAGAAATGCTAACTTTGGGCTGTTAATAGCACTTACATGTCTGGCATGTGTGCTATTACTACATCAGGATTAGCCTACGCTCTTAAAGCACAATTAACCGTGGCTTCAACAAGTATGAATGTCAATGCATATACATATCAAAACATCAAAGTGGCATTTATTTTGGCACAACACCATTTTAAAACATTTCACTAAAATTAAAGGTACACTATGTAACTTTTTTGTTCAAAATTAACTAAATTTAAAGGACAAGTTCGGTATTTTACACTTAAAGCCCTGTTTTAAGATCATTTCTGATGAAATAGAACGGTTAAGATTGAAATTTGGACACATGCTGCTGGCCAGAGAATTTTCGGTTTCTATATGGGTCGGAAGGAGTGATTAAACTAATTCATGTTTTTTTTTTTTTTAAACAATGAATGTAATAATTTATACATTAAATTGGCCTAAACAGAACATTTGCAAGCAATCCATCAATTATAAATCAATAAAAAAAGGTGAGTAACTCTTTTTAATGAATCTTGCAGTGCTTTTTCACAAGGTTTTCCAAAAACAAAAGTTGGTACAAATATGATACTGATCCTTATGTTGTCAGATTTTTATCAATTGAAAAAAAGGGAAAAATTGAATTTGATTAATTTAATGAATCCCCATCACTAAAAGATACATGTTTTCTAATTGGTTTATGACAGCAGCACAACAGTTACCTGGAATAAGTTTGTCAGGTCCCATTCTGTTGGATATTTCCGTGAACTCTCTAAGGATCTTGCCGGCCTTCTTGGCCTCAGACTTTAGGTTAGCAGGAATAGGGTTATTCACTGTAAAAGAAACATTAAGATACATAATTTTATCTTCTTCTGCACCTTCACATTCCAAAATTCTGAAACGTCAAATGTCTATAGAGAAAATTTGTAGGATGTTTTGCATCTTCCTGAATGCTTTCAATTCTACTATGTAAAACGACTCTCTCATGGCATCTGTTACTATGAACCTGAACTATGTTTTAAATACCAAAATTATTTAAAGGCTATGGGCAATATTTAACCACTTGTTCAAGGTGACAGACTATGAAATCACCACAATTGCATGTCCCTCTATTATAAAGTCTCTCTCCATTTTAATATGACAAACTGTAAATTATTCATTAATACATCAAATGTCAACATAACCAAACAAGTTATTTTGCTCACCTCATTGATAATTGCACAAATTATATTAGCCAGAGTCAGTCAGTGATTAGTGTGTTAATATTCATGCTGATGACTGGGTCAAAAAAAATGTGTCACTGTCTGAGTCAGATTTGCCTTTCCTTCTTGTTGTTACTCATTACATCTTATCCAAGCCCATTTACAAGCCACAGAGACACTGATGCTGGTAGAGTTCCAACATATAGAAAGATACCAGGTCAAAGTTAAAAAAAAAATAATGTCCAAGATAAAGAAAAAGAAAAGTCTCTTAAAAATATAATTTAAAATGCTGACTAATGTGATGTAACTATCAAAAAAAAAAAAAAAAAAAACATTTGAATACAAGCGAGTGTCTTGGCGGAATAGATCTGCTATCCTGCTGCGGTACTTGCTACTGCAAATACATACACAACACACTGCTGTGAGCAAGTAAGACATGCTTCTGCTGTACAATATAGCATCCATGAATTACCCATAGCAGATCTATACAGGTGGAGCTGGGGAAGGTGGAGGGTTTCTGAAAGCGCGCTGCAGTGCTAAGGAAAACGCTACCCATGTATTTGAAGGTTGAGCACGCAAGCTCATTGGCTACTGATACAGCAGGAACCAATCAGCAGCACCCTATTCATACTTTGCACGTGACGTCACAAGTACTGGCTGGCGGGCGAGAACGTTGTTCTCCAGCAACGAAACCCAGTAAACTAATCAAGGATCTTGCCAGGACGTCGCCAGTTTTACTATACAAAAGTTGGTGTTTTGAGGTTTGTGATATCTATGGTTTTCAATGAGAACCAGAGATGACCCAACAGTAGAGCTAGATTATTTACGGAGGAATTATTACTGCTCGATTATCTTAAAAAACCTTGTCTGCTTTACACAATTTAGTTACCTTGGAGTTAATCCTATTCCTAGTCTATAGTTATGCAGCTAGCTCGCTAACAGACTTGATAGCTACTAAAAGACCCATAAGACCTGGAACTACAGGACTCTACGTTGAAAATACCCGTTTGTTGCCCGCCAGGTATCCATGGCAGTCACGTGACTGCAAAGTATGAATAGAACATAATGATGTGATTACAAGCAGGTTGAGTTTAGGACCATAGACTGTAAAGGTTAGGACCTATAAGCCTGCGCCATCTAGAGGTTTATGACAGAACTTTGTTAGAGGCATTCATTTTTATTATTTATTTTCAACGCCTTTATGTCCCAAAAAAAAAAGAATCACAAATTACACATATATCTAAAAAGGGTGTATGCAAGTATGACATTTTTAAAGTTATTTCGAATAATATGAATCTATAAAAAAAAAAAAAACTGTACCCGATGTACAAGTATAATACAAAAGCATTCCTTTTAAATACCACCACACCCTCATTTTGCGACAAAGATTAATCCATCACTTTCTATTAACTAATTTTTGATGGATGAATCACTGGATATATTGGGGTGATCAAGCACCCTTTTGCAACAAATAAGAGTTGCTTCTGGCATGTGCACCCTTTCTGTGGTTTACTCAGGGAGGTACTTGCAAAACGTCACTTTCAACGCAGTCTTTTCAGTTGAAGAATTCTTGGAAAACCAGCCACATCAACAAGACGATTCTCCTGTATGCACCTGCTTAAATATTTTAATATAGTAATACCAGGACGCCCACCAATTAGACAGTTCTTTCCAACTAATGCTACTCGAGACATTCTTAAAGGAGAACTCCGGCGCAAAATGAACCTTTGGTCTAATTACACATTGGTACCTAGTCAACCGTTATCTGAGATTTGTTTTCATGATTATCGAATGTAAATAGTTTTATCTCTAAAAACAGTTTAGCCTATAAAGCTAGTATAACGCTAGTATATTGGGCATAGATCATTGACAAATAAAAATCGCTTGTTAATACCACTAACAAGGCTCAAAATAGCCCCACACTAACACGGTAGCATAATGAGGGTCCCTACCTTCAAACCGAAGCATTGAGAACTTTGTCAGTGTCCAGACAGTTTAATAAGAAGATATTTAATACATACAGTCAACTTCGCGTATACAGGCAGGAGCCATCTTTGAAATACAGCCTTTACCAGTCGATCTACGAACGCCGATCCAAGCCTGCTGTTCGCGCTCACCTTATCACAACTTATAGCTCGTTCACATCTCACCAGCGCACTTGGATCGGCGTTTGTAGATTGACTGGTAGAGACTGTATTTCAAGTATGGCTCCTGCCTGTATACGCGAAGTTGACTGTATGTATTAAATATCTTCTTATTAAACTGTCTGGACACTGACAAAGTTCTCAATGCTTCAGTTTGAAGGTAGGGACCCTCATTATGCTACCGTGTTAGTGTGGGGCTATTTTGAGCCTTGTTAGTGGTATTAACAAGCGTTTTTTATTTGTCATTACACTATGCCCAATATACTAGCGTTATACTAGCTTTATAGGCTAAACTGTTTTTAGAGATAAAACTATTTACATTCGATAATCATGAAAACAAATCTCAGATAACGGTTGACTAGGTAACAATGTGTAATTAGACCAAAGGTTCATTTTGCGCCGGAGTTCTCCTTTAAATATATAACCCCTATTGAACCAAATACATTTTGGTTGGAAGAATGTTTGTTATATAAAGCATTTGTGATGGTTCTGTGACTTCCTCCCCCTTCTTGTTTTTTTTGCATTAAATCTGAGGATAATTTAAATATACATTGATTTGCTTTCTTATGTGAGGGATTCGTAACTAGTTGCTCTACCAGTTACCCTTGTTTTCAAGATAAATGTTGTCTGAAATGTACCTTTTTTACGCAGTAAAAAAATGAAAACTAAAAAGTAACAGTTTGACAAGGACTGTTGTAATTTGGCATTCTTTAAATGTTAAAGTGATATTGATGACATCACTCAAATGAATCACTCAAGGTTATTTTTTAAATAACTCACCACTATCAATCATAATACTACTTTTACACAAGGGTCAAAAATCTATTCACATCCATTTTATGGCTCGTTTAGATTCCTAGCATAAATATGCAGGACGAGTTGCACACAAGTTACAGTTTGTTTGTTTATATTCCTAACCTTAAGAATGAGCAAAAAAAAAAAAAAAAAAAAAATCTTGCCTTCACATAAAAACTACCCTAAGTTCAGGACATCACATGAAAAAGCAGATGACTAACAAAGAAGTCATTCACAGTTGCTTCAGATTATTTCCAAAGTAAAAAAGGAGGACCAAGTTGTGACCATGTTTTGTTTTTTACCGATTAAAAAGTGCCTACAAACCATATTTATTATAAGAAGCATATCTTGAAAAGAACTGCACACACAATGGGACACAAGATATCTGAAAGTGAACTGGAGTCCTGAACTTTGTAAGACCTGCATGAAGATCATAGAACTAGCATCAAATTGGTCATTTTTCACAAAGTGCTGTTGTGTAATAATCTCTCATTACATATATACATTGTAGCAGTAAATGCCAGGCTGTGGCTGGTAACACCTCTATGATTCTCTTTCACTCCCATGATCTTTTAGTATTATACAGCTGTGTGCTGTAAATTCTTCTCTAGTTTGTCATACAGCTGTTGATGTAATGCGCTGGAAAAATTGCTCTACTGAACTGCCATCAACGTACATAAAACTTTATGCGCTTTCAAGAGATACCTAAAGACTTCTACGTAAGTAACTTATGTCAAATAGCATCTCATCTATCAGATATTCTGCCAAATCACCTCACAAAAGAATGTTTGTCTGAATCATCAGACTAACCTGATCTCATGACGTGGTTTTAAAGAGGATTAGTACGCACTGAGCAACGTAATGGTGCTTTGAGGGATCAGGTGTGCTACAAGCAAAACAAAACAAAACAATGTTAAAGGTGTATTAGTGATCTCATTTTCGAGAGATATTTACAATTCTGATCAAAAGTTTGGGGTCGGATTTAAAAAAATTAAATGAATATGTTCAACGTGGGTGCATTAAATTGATCAAAAGTGAGAACAAAGACATTTATGATGTTCTTTTGAGCTTTCTATTCATCACAAATATTGGAAAAAAGGTATCATGGTTTTCACAAAAATATTAAGCAGCACACTGTTTTTAACATAATAATAAGCAATGTCAGCACCAAATCTGCATAAGAATTATTTCTGAAGGATTATGTGAGTAGAGTATGACTGGAGAAACAACATTGTAAGAAGAGTGAACTGGAGTAACAACATATTATCTAAATATTTATATTTTTACTGGGTTTTTTTATCAAATAAATGCAGCCTTTGTGAGGCACGTTTCCAAAAACATTTTTTTTTTTTTATTATACAGGCCCCAAACATTTAAAAATTATTTTTGTTCACTAAAAGAAAACATGCACGTTAATTTGGCAAATTCAGAAATAGAGTTTTTCCGGAAAACAATGCATACAGTATGATAATGATGCTTTCATGACTATAAGAAGTATTTTTTGTGATTTAAACAAAAAATATTTGAGCCAGCAAAACCATCATATAGGTATAACAACCATCACAGAAAACCAAACGTTTAAGTTTTCAAGGCAAAAAAGTGGATCTATAATATCAATGAATGTAATTTTTTTTTTGCAACACAACACTAGCCCAAAAGGGGCAACCAAAAGGGAAAAAGTGTTTCTTCAACTGGACCAAAACCCTCTCACACAGGCCCTGGGTCAGTAGGCCATCCGTTTGAGCCATGCTAAATGCAAATAATAAAATGCAACTAACCATATATTATATCATGCATATTTAAGATGGCAAAATTAATATATGTACAGTATTTTGGTCCGAATTCATGTCACTTGTTAGAAGCTAGACAAAATCAGCAGATCCCAACATGAACAGATTGCATGACATGCCTTTATCCTCAAAAACCATGAACAAAACTACACAACGTGAAAGAAAATGCAACCCAAATATACTAAATACAGGTTGATTTAGAGTGAGGATAAATAGTTTGTGTTTACCACACAAACAGACTGGGGTTAATTATTGGCTTCTGAGAACATTTGCAAAACAAACAGAACTTTGCATATTGGTGGGCCTATGGAAGTCTTGGCAATATAAGTAAGTGTCCATGTTTGATCTCAAGGACTTATTAAAATTTAGCTTGTACAATAACACTTTTGGTACTGTACTGGACCAACGCATGATGCTCAAAGTAAAATCCGGGTCCTGAAGCAAAATCATTTGAAAAGCACTGCTAAAGAGCAATTGAAGCACTGTTTCCGACCCTAATGTCAGCTGCCACTGAATAACGTGAGCCTTGGGTCTTTTTCTGATTTATGTCTAATACAAGAATACCCTCTTTCTGTTCTATAAGCCTACGGCTTTAATACATGTGTCTGCGACAGAAAAAGCACTGAACTTTGTGAACTGACAACATCTGGAAGGGGATTTGCAGGACTGATGCAGTTCTTTTTATTTATCTCAAGAGACTTGAGAACAATAATGCATACTGTAAACTTTGCATTGCATAGGCCTATATCGTCCCCCAAATCTGACAAGAAACGGTACCAACAAAGCTTTTCTTTGGGACATCTTAGTAAGGCTTATTACTGTCCCCAGGTAATAGTGGATGGTGTTGTTTTCCACTCATTTTCTCATTCATGTAAAACCTGTGCTGTGACTGTCATAGAGAGGGGGTGAACTAATAAATGCAGCTGTGGTGACAAGCGTAACTATGAGAATATGATTTTTGTGATTACTACTGTACAAATAATTACCGCTTACGCAGATAATTAGTCAATCCCAGATTAACATAGCAATATAAAGCATGAAAAATGCAAATATGTTGGGACAGTGCAATTATCTCTTAATTTGTAGTTGGAGGATATAATGAACAATTACGGATGCAGCATTGATCCATTGAGAGAGAGAGCGCAAACATCTGACTGTCACTGACACTTACAGTGGAGGTTGCTTTAACACTTAGTTTAGACAAACAACTTAATCAGCGAGGCTCAAGAATCTTCATTCAGTGCGTTTTACCCCTTTAAAATAAATAATAAGTGTTTTTTTGTTTTGTTTTTTAGCTAAAGGGATCGAATCAAATGCAAATGTCAATAAAGACGGAAATGTTGTTCTAGAATGAAATAAATAAAGTCAAAAAATGGCACAAAGTATGATGGACACCTGGAGCCGGTTCCAACAAACCCCTCAAGTTCAACCTAATAGTGATAATTTGTTCATAATTATAGCCTTAAAGCTTTTAAACACATTCAACAATTTTCATCATGGATGTTAACAAAGCTACTGGAATGTCGAAGGGACACTCCTGATCATGTCAAGCTGTCTGCTACAAGGTGGAGAAATTAATATCTACTTTCCCACAGGGGCTAAATGAATTGCTTTTGTCAATCAAGACCGCAGACAGCCTATCACGTGTGGCAGGCAGCAGTGACGTCAAATAAAGTGCACGTCATAATGCAGCTGGTATTTATATCATATAAATACCAGCTGGTAATGATATTTTACACTATATAATTAGGCTAACAGAACCAGTTATTATACTGTCTTGTCAAACTCAACATAATGATTTTCTTTTTAACATATTCTGTCAGTTTTCCTGTATGGGACAATCAAATATGTTCCATATCACATTTACTTACCTTGACTTTGAATGAATAGGCTACTCTGAAAATGTTTTGGGTAGGCTATGTTTAATCTAGCCTATAGCAGAGATGTCATAGGCTACTTAGAAAAGTAGTAAACCAAAACAAATGCCACTTCACAATAAACCGACTCGATTAGGCTACTGTACACGTTGGGTTACCGATTCATCTCAGGGAATATGAAAAACCTTCTCTACTTACTTTTATCAAAAACGGACTTTATTCGCCAGGCTCGGGGACTTCTCGAAGTTTAAGTTGACTTTTATGTAGCCACACCTGGTGCAGGTAAGAGAAGTTAAAAGTGATAGTGAACACTTCCGATACACCTGCCCAACCGGTTTACTTTAGACTTAAAGGACCCGCAAAGAAGAGAAGCCAGATATAATGTATTTCAATAAGTTTGGTAAATAACATGTAGCCTATACATATTATTAAAGAATTTTGTGAACAAAGTCGCATGTCACAATTATAGACCATTATTTTAAGCCATAGATCAAAGTTCTAGTGAGCATTTTTGATTCAGGCAACAATGGGACGCAGCAAGGGAAAATGACGTTTGACATGATTAGGACCCCTAGCGCGCTCTGGTGTACACAGAAGCGCGTTCTGGTGAATTCAGCTGCGCGCTTTGCGTGCCTGGTTGCGTGCGTGCTTTTTTTTTTCTTACAGTCTATGCGTGAAACCAAACGCGTCTGCAGTTTTGTGATGAGTGACATTTCTCATTTATTTCAGTCAGTGTTGATTTAATAGAGGTATACTTATATAATTTTTTATTATTAGGGGAAATCCGTGTGTTAAACTATCCTCGCTGATAAAAAGTCCATTTGGCACTAGGTCGAGAAAAAAAAAAGGGTCGAAATCTTCATGTAACCTAAATAGATTTATATTTTAATAAAGAGATATGTGTGTTTTAAACAACCTTCCAGTAAAGTTCTTCTTTCATGAGGTTTCATCTTCGTCTGATGGAACCTGTAACAAAGACGGTAACAGCTCTTTTCATCAGAGGTATTCCTCCTTATAGCCTATATGGAATCATCTGCTATAAGCACAATGTATGTGTGGTAAATCTAGACTAAAACAAATGTTTTTAGAAACACGTCTCATCTTTCACTATTGTTGTTGCAATATATAGGCTAAACAGGCCTCTAAAGCCTGGTTTCCTTTGCCAAATATTTTCTTTTGCCTAAAAGGGTGTTTGGAGAACATACAGATCATATTGTCCTAAAGAACTTACTGAAATTATTATATAGAGCCATTCTTGCCGTTTGCTTTCTTCACAATACGCTTTTGCACATAAGGCATGTCGAGACTGCAATCTACAACATCATTTGTCACATTAAATTTAAACCCATAAAAAGACAAATTAATACTTTATATTGATAGCCTAGGCTACTATGATGCATTGTACTGTTAAATTTCTTATTATGGAATTTCTTACTAACAGCAGGCCTATAACCTAAAGCTCAACATGACTTAGAAAAGTGCACATAAACTAAACAATATTGACATGTGGATCTATACTGTATGCCAAAAAATTTACATATAAGGTTGTCATTATAAAAATACATCATACGTTAGTGGCCAAAAGAGATGTACGGCCTATAGGAAAATTGACATATTCACTCTTTATTCACAAATTATTAAAATGTGTTAAAGATTTTGTAAGCTGCGTATTGTGCTTGGAGTCAATTATTTTATTTGTGATAATGCAATGAAACATGCCAAATTGTGCGGACATAGTTTTTGATCAGGCTGTCAGGTAAGTTCTTTTAAAATAATCAAACAAAGAATATTTTATACATACTTATTTATGTTTATATAAATGCATTATTCAATATCCTTTAATCCTCTTATTCTCATTTAAATGCAACTTGTATGGACATGAGCCACTTCAAATCTTTATCTTATTACTTATTATGTGCATTTAACACTTGACTTTTTGCATATTTTTCATTCACTTTTTTAATTCCAGTTCAAAATACCTAAATACGTATAGGAGTTGTTTTGTACTAATAATGTAGTGCGATATTTAAAGCATTTGAAGTTTTTCTCAAATCCTAACTTTAATATCTACTAAGTTACTTATTATTTACTTAAGTATTTAAAATATGAAAAAACAGAGACTGTATTTTCTTGCTATATCCTCACATCTTCACTGGTGGGCTCTTGGCAGAAGTGGCTTGTCATGGCTCGCTGATCTGGAATGATCAAACAATCTAATGTACACACATATAGACACAGACAGTCCATCAGAATTTTAAGACCCTTTTCCTGAGGTTACCCAAAAGTTATGTCTTGAAAATCTCAGTGGCAGAACATTCCTCTCCCTGCCCCTACTTGGAAGCTGAGAGAAAGACGTGCAGCTCGCTGCTCCAATCTGGGCTTTTTTCAAACCACGACATTGGTTGTCAGTCATCCACACCCAATTATGTAAGAAATGTATCGTGCGTCTCATCCTCTCTGCGTAGCAGACAGCATTCTGGCATTTAACAAACACCTGGGTTCAACATAAACAGACCTTATGTAGATACATGCTCTAGTTTTTGCTCCTCATCAAAACACAGCAGACACTGCTGGTCTGATATGTTCAACACAGATTTTCAAAAGTCTTTGTCAATCTCTCAAAGGACTGCAACACCACTGTTTCTGGAGAAATCCTAAATTAGAGGATTAAAGACTGCAGTTTGGAAAATCGAATTGATTTTGACTCTCAACATGACCAATGACCGTAACCAATGAAAGATCCTCAGATGTTGTTTTTTGTCATCTCGTTAAATTTGCTCTATAGGCTTATATCCCATTATGTGACGCTTTAGAGGGTCTAATAATGTGGAAATCATCTGGGGTAGACATTTTGTTTTTTAATAATTTGTAGAGTTATTTGTAACCTACTTTTCAAAAGTTTGGGGTCAGATCGTATTATTATTATATTTTTAAAGAAATTAGCAAGGATGCATTAAATTGCTCAAAAGTGCAGAATTGTAACAATTCTTTGGAACTATGTTTTCACCAAAGGATCCTAAAATGATCATGTTTGCGCAAAAATATTGAGCACAACGGTTTTCAACATTGATAATAATAAGAAACGTTTCTTTAGCATTGAATAATTTCTGGTGGGTCAGGACATTGAAGACTGGAGTAATGATGCTGAGAATTCAGCTTTACCATAACTGGAATGAATCATATTTTAAAATATATTTAAATAGAAAATGTATTCAAAATTCTAATAATATTTCACAATATTACTATTTTTTACTGTATTTTTGATCAAAAAGCATCGTGAGCTAAGTTGATCGTATATAGAGACCAATGGTTCTATGATCTACGGCTTACAATGTTTTTGGGAAACGCAGCTCAGGTCGTTTTATCAGCAACATTTTTAAAAGTACCAAAGGCATAATAAAACGGGCCTTCTCTCTCTCTCTCTCTCTCTCTCTCTCTCTCTCTCTCTCTCTCTCTCTCTCTCTCTCTCTCTCTCTCTCTCTCTCTCTCTCTCTCTCTCTCTCTCTCTCTCTCTCTCTCTCTCTCTCTCTCTCTCTCTCTCTTCTTTTTTTTAAAGATACCTTTTCAATGCCAAATTTCTCTTCACTCACATGCTATATTCCTTCTTATACAGTATGCCAATATGTTTTAACATTTTGAACTTTATTGGTCAGACTTATATTACAGATTATTATATTACACAGAGAGACAGAAATCTGAATTCTTTGTTATTATAAGGAGAATATTCTTTTATAACTCAGTTTATCGGATTGACAATGTAATCCTTAAAGAACTGACATGAATTAAGTTATTGGTTGGCATTTTTTGATTCCTATAATTGAAAATTGATCATTTGAATCTGCAGAGGAAGAGACACAAGGATGGAAAACAGTTTAATGGAACCTTTCGTACAGATATTCCAGTGAAGATTTTGTGAAGGTTTTTCATTAACAAAGCATGTTTGTTAATGGCATGTGTTGTTTATGAAGTCAGGGATGGACAAATATCTTTTATAGCCTAATCGTATATGCATCTTTCAGCCTTTATGCTATAAGCTTGAGGCGCTTTCATTGGCGAATACATTGTTACTTTGAACATTTTCAGATCATGTGCTCAGCAAAGTCTAATCAGCTTATGGAGTTCTTTGAATGCTTCATGTCACCTTTATGGGAACTTTTTCCAGCATATTACCAACTGGAGTGGGAAAAGGGAAGAAGCATTAAGCCTAGAATGGCATTTTGTGGAACACCTATCTAGACAATTGAAATTAAGCCCCTCAGTAATGTTTTTGACTTCTGTTTGAGCCGTTTTAAAGAGAATGTCCTGGCTTCAACTTGTGACAAAGCACAAAATGTCTTTAGCCAAAATTCCTACAATACATTCATTTGGGAAGAAATGTGTCTATATAATTAGTCTTTATTATATTAGATAATATATATATATATAATTATATTGCTTAAATGTAAATATACTGTATATCTGAATGTTCCAGGATGAATTTCAGTTTGATGGACCTTCAAATAGAATTTTAGATTACCGTATATCAATGACTTTGTATTAAAGCAAATGCAAATTTCAGTGCTGTTGCTCAGTTGCTTGTGACACAATCGTTGCATGCGGTTAAGGCTGACGTGGAGGTATGAGTCACCAGATGTTATACGGTTCATTTATAATCACCATCAGGTCAGATTTGGCCAGTTTTGTTCCTGATCTTTGGTTTAAAATCACTGCTGTGTGCCCATTCATGTCACTTTACATTACCACCAGTGGCTATGTGGAACATATGGACAAAATCCAACTGTGTATAACCTCTATGCATTGAATTTTTCAACATGTATTAAATTAAAGAAATGTCCAAATCTTTATCATCATCTCTTGATGGTCAGTCACAATGGTAAATGTACCATTTGCAGCTTTGTACTCTTACTCTTACTTGGCCGCTGCCCAGAATTATAGTCAGACCAGCTAAACCACAGTGTTGGCATCAGGTAACTAGTGGGAGTTCCTAAGCAAGACAGAAGAAAGATACACAGGCATTACCTCAGCAGACTGATAAAATTGCATGCAATGTGGCTGATTGTAACCACAGCAAGTGTATGCAGTAAACTAGTCTTGATGGTTACATACAAGAACTAGGACTTTTGGCAAAACGAGAATTCTCATTTACAATTTTGTCATCCCTTAATTTCATTGTTCTTTCTTAAGCTTGAGCACAAGTGTCACTAGCATGTCTGGACAAATCAAGAACTACAATATAACTCTGTAATAGTAAACCAGAAATAATTGGGGGTTTTATCATGCTCAATAATAGAGAACATTATGATATACATTAACTCATAAGGCAAATTGGATGG